TGAAGTCTGCATTAGTTTGTTCTTTCAGCTTTAATGTTGAATTCAGTGGCAGGGAAGGTATCTTGAATTTTTTTCACTGTGTTTTGTTTCCAAGTCAAATGAAGGATATATTAGCTTGAAGAACATGATTAAAGATGGAGGTAAGGGCCACCTGGAAATGTCAGTTTTTAAAATGTGAAATATTGTATGAAAACTAGCAGACATGTTCAAATGTCTCACAACTAGCCCATTTTATTTCTTACACTTTCAGTTTTGGGCTTCTGACAGGCTAGTATGGCGAAAATGAGCAAAAGAGGCCAATATTTCAAACTTCAAATGTAAAGTCTAAGTATAGAAAGTCCGTATGATAAATGTTTTACCATGTGTTTGGAGTCCCAAGACATTATTGAAATAAACAGTGTCTAGTTATTCATATGAAAACATCTAAAAATTTAAACCCCTGGGCCCCCCCAAAAACCTTAAGTGAATCAGTTTCACACATAGTTTATGTTTAGCAGGGAATGTGTACTATTTGTATCATCATCATCATCATCATCATCATCATGGAATTAGGCCTAAACATGACCATTATGATCGTTTTATGTATAAAGCTGCCAAATCCAACTCAATCCAACAATGATCAATGTTTCAGGATTTTCATGGTGTTTGTCTATTTCAGGCATGTTTTCAGTTCCTGCTTATTTGTGAAACTTGACCCCGGATTTTGACTAAATGGTTTAACCAGTGTCCATAACTGTTTGTCTTTGTGCTGTAAATGTACCTCTAATGAAGACAACAATGTCCATATATGTCCATAAAAGACCTTGCTACCTAATAAGGGCAACACATAACCATATAAGGCTCACAGCTGAACACGCATCCATATATGGCATAGGCTGATGACCTATGGGTGCATGTGGTCGGATTGTTTTGGGAAGAAATAAGGCCACACTTTTGTAAGTTTATGTTTCAAAGATTTATTCCAGCTTTTCCACACAAGGTCAGTCGAATCAAAAATATAAACAAATGTCAATCATTTATTTATTTATATGAAAGTCATACTGCTGTAGAGTTAAAACTGCAGGTGGCCTCTTGATGTAGACATGGAATTTATAAATTACATTTTGTATTGATAAGAGCGTCTACATTATTAGCGGGAAACATAATAAAAATAAAACAAATTATGTTAAATTTATTTCTTAGACTGGCTTCTTTTCAGTAGGGGCAGTGGACCTGTGAAACAAAAAATAAAAAATGTGTGGCCTAATGGACATGAAAACTGATTGTCCCATTACTATTAATGTTGGTCTGTGTCAGTAGGTGTTTCATGTTTGATCAGGACTGGTGATGAGGTGTAGGCTGTAAGTGCTATTATCATGAAAACCCCACCCTTGTTAGTGTAAAGGATCTCAGTTTTATCATGTACAGACATAGTGTACTGCATGTATATATGAACTTTATCATGTTTATTTTGTAGTGTGTGACTCTTTTCTAAGCTGGAGCTACTGTCATTGTGAATATGTGGATGTTTCTTTCTGTACAGAATAAAGTCATTGTTTTCAAATATTTCCTGTCTTTAATGCCAGTTGTCACCCTGAGGCGGAATAGGTCCCCAATATTCTTGTTACCCATCAATATCCAGGTTAGAATTGGACTTCAGCAACCCATGCGTATCGTAAGAGGCGACTAATAGGATCGGGTGGTCAGGCTCAGTGACTTGGTTGATGCATATCATCGTATCCCAATTGTGTGGACTGATGCTCATGATGTCAATCACTGGATTGTCTGGTCCTAACTCGATTATTTACAGACCACCGTCATAGGCTTATTGTGTATTTGGATGGGAAGATTGTTGCTCATGCTCTCAACCACTGCCTGGCCAAGGTGTGATATAGCTGGAAATCTGAGGCATAAAGCAACATTCACTTATTACTGATGGTAGCTGTGGAAGAGGCAGGTACTGTGATGGATGAACAAGGGTTCAAACAAAAGAGCGTGAGGCATTTTATTCTTCTTACAGCAAGTTCTCTGTTGTGGATGTCATGGTGGCAGAGTAGGTGGTGTGTTCAATGGTAACACTGTTGATGCAGGTTTGATTTCAACATCAATACAATCTCCCTCACTGTTTGTTGCTGTCCTGACAAAATGCAATCTCATTAAAATCAGATCTTAGTTCTCGCTACCGCTAAACAAAGCTGATTTTAATGAGATTGGACAAAATGGGATGAGAGCATCTTCATCCATGAGTGGTGTAAACTACTATCCTCTGCTGGTATGAGTTCATTGCTCAACTTGAACTGGCCTGCATCAGGCATTCTTTGAGAAAATAATGACGTCAGTATATCCCCAGTGTGAAGCTATGTATCTGTGAATCACAGAATCACAAATCAAATCCTCATATTTGGCATAATGCACCATATAAAAAGTTACATTAGGTCCATTATTACAATTTACAACAGGTCACATATTGAGAATAGTGCCACAATGTTCTCCAAACTATAACATCACTGCATCATAACCTTGTGACCTCATCAATGGAATGTCACTGCATATTTGAATGTGCAACATTTTATCCACTTCTCCAACATGTGCACACTAATATAGAGAAATTATGTTTTCTTATAGATGAACATATTATCCATATGTTGATGAATATTTTAAAAAGTTAAAGTAGTCTTAATAATGTTTTGTGCAAAACTGTTGAGACAGTGAGTGATATCCCAATTTATCATATAATGGGGAGGTTTCTCGGCAGGATAAAGCCATCGGATAAAAACGATATCCGTTGTGGTCATATGCGGATAGAGATGCAAATATCAAAGGTCACGTAGGGACTACTTTCACTGTTTATAAACAAACATGACGTCGCCCTCGTCATTCGGCGATCGAGTCAGAATTAACCATCGGGAATCTGGATAAACTACAGGGATATTTGCCATCATTATCAAAAGAACAGTCTAATATACTGAAAATCACTGTCTAACTGTGCCGTAGCTAAGGCATTTTATAAGTTTTGGCAACTTTGGAGATATAAATTTCGAAACAATTTTGCGAGGGCATGAGGCCTAGCCAAGCGGGATCAGTAGCCATATCTGTGCTTGTAGACCTCTGTGGCTTGAAACCTTCTCCACAAATCAAAATAGTTGGATTTGGCCGAAATGTGTTTGAATTGTTACCTTGTTTCGTTTTGTCGCTGTGTGTACATCTGACTACACTTGTTAACGTTATGACAGGACAGACTGACTGTCAACAACGTCTGACCGTGGCCGTGACGTCTCATAGACTAGGGTTAGAGTAGCTTCCCTTTGATAAAGGGCAGTTACTCTACCGGCTGCGAAAGGCAATTAAAAAAATTGTTGTTTTGCGTAATGTTGCTTCGCCGGTGTAGAAGAAACAAATCTCAGTTGGAACCATATTGGCTACTGTCACTGTCCGACTGACACATCACTTACCCTGTGACGTAATAAATATTAAAGCGCACATTCCAGGAAAACTCGCAATGTTTCGGTAATGTTTGTGAGAGAGGGAAAGCGATTTTGAAGCACAGAATTAAAGAACGACATTATATTATAAAGAGGTTATCATGCTTGTGTGTTTGGGGATGGTAAATATCCTGTATTAGGAATAAACACTATATATTTAGTTCGCCAAGCCTCTCTAAATACAATGTTTATTCCTAATGCAGGATATTTACCATCCCCAAACACACTTGCGTGATAACCTCTATATATCCCTTCAGAAAAAGAGTGAATTTGGCATGTTAGGTAACTAGTTCCCCAAATGCACACTAACCCTTCTTTATTTACTTGGATGTTTAGATCAAATAACAAGGGTTTTAGTATTATGTACCTTAGAAAAAGTTAATAAAGTTAATAATCTTTACTAAAGACCAGCGGACAGCCCCTAGTTCTTGCAATGATGTGTCCTCAAGGAGAAACCCAGTGTGATTACACTGTTCATATATGAAAAAAAAGAATAATTATTGTGATATGGACATTTTTTTTCAGATCAATCAATGTTCAAATGTGCACACCAGAAACCACTGAGACCAGGTTTTCTTGAGACCGTAAATTCATGATGGGAGTAAAACCCCTAACCTCAAATTTTCTTTCCATTTCAAACTGCTGTGCATCTCTGATGACTGAAAATAACCACTACTTCATGACTGGTGTAAAGAACAAAGAAATTTCTGGGCAGAATTTGAATATGATAAAATTCACTTTTTGAACATAAAAATTTAGAAATCCTATCTTGGTCCATATTTATCACAGACACACACTAGTGCACTTTATAACTTCAAAGAAAAAGAGAAACAAATGCTTCTAAAATATCACAACCATGAAAATTTTCCTCCTGACTGAAACGAAGACATTATAGTCTTATGGATACAGGCAACATATATTTAGGTGAAGAACTAGTGGCAGGTTCTCAGGATGCTCATCTTCCCCAGTCTTGTCCTGAGGGAGTTAACTGATCGTAAAAGTCCAGTTTCCACCCTTGCCGACTAGGCTGGAATATCTGGGCTCGATCATGGCACCAACAGTGGCTATAACGAGTTATATCCCTTCTATGTCCCTCCTACTGACCAATCAGATTCTGTCTCTCATATCACTTGCATTTGGTTCAAACAAAATGGTGGCACCCTATCAAGACAATCTGATCAATAATCAAAATCAATCTTGTGATAAAACAGGTCTTCAAAGTGCAACAAATCACGTAGGCACCTTGATTAAAACCTGAAAAGATTTGGAAAATATCTGTTAACGAGTTGACAGAACACATGCTTTGCAAGTCCTGCAATCAACCGAAGTTAGCATGGCAGTTGACGAACTGGATTTCGTTACGCAGTTTTAATTGGACAATGCTCATTAATCTAGCCGAAATATAACTCCAAAAGTTCAGCCTAGTTAGGCAAGGGTGGAAACTGGACTTTTATAGTCAGCTCCCTGGGCGGATGCTCTACCACTGGACCATGGAGGCGGTCTCACTCAGTAGAAGAAGAATAAGGCAATACTTCATGGTTGTGTATGTAAAGCTTTAATACAAAATCAAGTCCATGTTTGTTGTTACCATGACAACAAAAGTTAAGGCAACTATTCCAGGGTATATTGATACAGATGTTTACAACTAATTTACACCTGGAAGAACAAATCCTTACACAAGTACATGTACTATCATTCGTTCATGTTTTATTGCACATAATAAACTATTACAGCAGTGTTGTGGTTATCCATGTTAAGGAAGAGTTTATGGATGTCAACCTCTTTATTATGATAATAATATTTAATTTATGGATGTCATAATCATATCATAATAAAGAAGTTGACATCCATAAATTCTCTTCCTTATGTGTATCACTTATAAATGCCTTTCAAAGACCTCATATCCATGTTGATCAGAAAAACTTAATTATTAATATCTATTTCTCATAGTTGTCATCAGAAATTGTAACGAAAGTAACAAGTTCAAGAACAATACATGTATATTGTTTATCATAAACATATTCTTGTATAAAGTAATATTATTTCCTTCAACCCAATATATCCTTTTCAGCAATGGGACCTCGAGGTCCTACTGGATGTCATTGTCAGTACATCAGTCTTGTAAACACTGCGTTCCTCCATCACCTAAGAACACATATGGGGATGCAGTAGTTAGAGCTGGGACAAGTCCAAATTTACTACCCGGGTACCTGACCCCCTATTACCCGACCTTACCCGGGTACCTGACCCCCTATTACCCGACCCTACCCGGGTACCCACTGGAGGTCTCAAGAGTTCGGTACAAAATGTCCGATTGGGAATTGTTTTACCGCAACCCTGGCAAAAACTATTTCGATACATGTATCAAACAATCAGATTCTGTGTACACTGAAGATGTTTGAAGCTTAATGTTTAATTAACCACTTCCAATTCAAAAGGAATGAGTGCATCGTTAGAGAGAAATGTGGATATTAGCAACTTGTAGTTTAACCACTAAGCTATAGGGATTTTTTGTCAATACACAATATATCACATGACAGTTCTGTGGGTACCTGGGTCCTACTCAGGACCCACCGGACACGAATTCCCAAGTTACCCGTCCCAGCCCTAGTAGTAGTCAATACTAGAGTTTAGTGAGCTAATAAAATGAGGCTGTTAAGAACTCACGGAAGTCTAATGAGCCCACTCCGTACATGAACACTGTGCGAGGCCTACCACTGCCTGACACTGAGGCAATGTGTAGAACAGACACAAGGCTGTGATACATGTTGGACATGCTCTCAAACAAAAGTACACACTGGCTTCCTTCTCAGGGGAGCCAGACCTTGTTTGGTTAAAAGTACTGACAACACCACAACTATGCCTGTATGTATTCATGGGTGATGGAAGGCATAGTGTATACAAACCTGGGAAGTACTTACAATGACTTGAGTACACTGCTGAAGTTCCAATGGAGTCTATCTTTCTGCATAGAAGCCCTTCAACTTGTCTATGAGCAATAAGTCCATGTTTACAGTTATTTGAAACCCCAGGAGGAGCTGTTTCCTATATAAATACAGACTAGCATATCTCTCAGTTTATGCTAATAATTCTGATTGCTTCCAATCTCATTAAAATCTGATCTTAGTTCTCGCTATTGCTAAACAAAGATCTGAGGACATCCCATTAAGGGTCAGAACGACCTTTCATCCAACTAATCAGAGCGTCGCTTACCAGATCATGAAAGTGACAGTGGAAATGAGTTTTCTAATCATGCAACCACGAAATATTTAACAAGGTGTATTCTGAACGACAGTTACGGGTTTTATGATTATATCCATACAATCTAGGCCATATATAAGCCATTCCAGAGTGTTCTTCTTATCAGTTTTAATTTTCTTAATCGAGAATACGTCAAAATATGTTTCGAAGCATAGTCGCCAGTTTGAAACTAGTGTCATAAAGCTCTAGAAAGCTGCCTTCTGATTGGCTAATGTCGATTTCTTGTCAGTCAATCATTGGTCGGTCAAAATTCGCGAAAGGTCGTTCTGACATAACCCATAAAGGGATGTCCTCAGATCTTTGTTTAGCGGTAGCGAGAACTAAGATCTGATTTTAATGAGATTGGATTGCTTCCAATATTTGAAAATAGTCATATCATACCAGTGTTATCAAAATAGTTATTCCCTTAATACTGAGACATCACTATGAAATAAGGTAGTTAAACAAGCTGGAATACCCAACTTGCCACCAGAGGTGTGATGATGATGATGATGATGATGATGATTATGATGATGATACAGACAATGAAACAATATGTATGATGTTAACATTACAATAAAAGCCATGAAAGGCCTCAAAGACAATTGCCAGCCTCCATCTTTACACTCATCCATGGGAGATAATCCTCTGGTTTCACATCTGCAGAGTGACCTCCCTTTTGATTCAAAAGTGTTCTCAACACAGACATTAAAGTTGGATTCAAACATGTCTGTGTGTGTAGGGTCATGGGAGAAAGATGATGGGGGTTAAGACATGGTCTGACAGATGGGCATCAGAAATCCACCATGCACAAAATCAAAATGACATTCATTTCCAGAAAACGACAGAAATACCTCCCTTGGCTGATGTTTCATTTTAACCATAGGGTTGGCAATGTTTAAGTCTTGAGACAAACTAGCATAAGATAAGATAAGATAAAAACAGATAAAACTTTCTTAGCACAAGGGAAATTATTTCCATTATGACATTCTCATCAGCAAATTACATGATGAATCTGACCCTTAAAGTTACTTCATGTTGAATAAATATCCTACCTGCCGTTGAACTTGTGTTACTTTTTCAAGCTGAAATGTGTTTTGTTTTGTTTGTTTGTTTGCTGTCCAACACCTCATCAGCAGCATACCAAGCTATAAGAAGGAGGTCTGTAAATAATGGTGTTTGAACAAAACAATCCAGTGACTGCTCCTGTCAGCAATGATCCACCCTGTTGGGGTATGATGACACACAATCAACTAAGTCACAGAGCATGGCCACCCGATCCATCTAGTCGCCTCCTATGACCAGCATCGGTGGTTGGGGACATACTCTCACCTGGATTCCCCACAGGGTTGGTTGAGAAGTTGGAAACTGGTATAGAGGACTGGCTGAACCTGGTTTGTTCTCGTTTTCAGCATATGCATACCCATATACATATATATGTGTGTATATTTGTCTGAGCAATCCTCATGGTCATAAAGATCAACCAGTAGGATGTCTTTCTTTCTGAAGCAGTATAATATGGATAGTTGTAGAGAGAAACAATGTCATTAAAATCAGATCTTAGTTCTCACTACTGCTAAACAAATATCTGAGGACATCCCATTACAGTCACGTCAGAACAACCATTTGCAAACTTTAACCGACCAAAAAAATGGGTAACAAATAGTGGACATTAGCCAATCAGAAAGCAGCTATTTTGAGCTTTACAGCACAAGTTTCAAAATGGAGACTTCCCCACACTACTATTTGAAAATCTTTTCGACAAGTGTTTTTTTTCAAAATTTGAAAACTAAACAAAATAGAATTCTGGAATGTCTAATAGATGGCTGAGAGTGTATGCCTGTACTTCCTATGGGCTCTTCCGTTTCAAATGTTTATCCATCTGAAGCAAGAGATAGACAATGATTTTGATGGAATGACCTTTTTGAGGTTGCATGATCAGAAAACACATTCAAAATTTCACTTTCCCAATCCAGTAAGAGGCACTCTGATTGGTCTGATGAAAGGTTGTTCTAATGAGACCTGCAATGGGATGTCTTCAGATCATTGTTTAGCAGCAGTGACAACTATCTCTGACTATAATGAGATTGAGAGAGAAACTAAGCGTTGATAGCAGCATTTGTCCATAACAAGTTTATAATACACAAGCACAGTCTACAAACTGTCCTGTTTGTATGTGGCCTGTCAATCTCACAAAAAAACAATGACAGATGAAACATGAAATTTATACCAACACAAGACTGATGGAAGATGAAAGAAGAAACAAACACATGAAATAATATCAATCATTGAATGATCTAAATTCTACATGCTGTATGAGAGTGAAATGAGTTTTACATCACTTTCACTATTATGACAGCCATATAAAGGCAGAGGACACCACGAACAGGCTTCACAGGCTGTACTTGTGTGTAGAATGAAACCCAGGTCCTCGGCATGATGAGCAAACACTTTCACCGCTGGGCTACCACACTGCCCCTATATGTGTTGCAATATTCACACCAGGCAACATTTTTCAAATTTCCCGTTTTTATAAGCTTGCTTTCATCATCATGTGCAGTTCATTCTGTGACCTGTTAATGTTGCCAATTGTGTAAAAACGTGCTGAGTGGGTGATGGTGTGAACTATCTGATCTCATCGAGTGGCTGTATCTTATAGGCTGTATCCGACTGTAGCGGTCGCTGTAGCGGGTGAGCCAGCAGCTGGGCCATGTAGTCGTGCAGCTTTGTGGGGTTCCGTGATATCTCCACGATGTACGATAGCCCCTTACAGTCCAGGTCACACAACGTGTTGAATGTTTCCTGCCAATAAACACATTACATTCAAGTTTTTTTTAACATATTTGGTTCCAAATATTGCAAGTATCAGCAAGCTTCAGTGTTCATCCACAGTATGAATTTGTTGGAAAACTTGCAGAGTGAATAAGATATTGAAAGACCTTCACTAACAGTGGACTACTACATGTAGAAATAGTGAAACAACATATCTAAAATAGATCCTTTCCAACCACCAAAATGTTACATAATTAAAGTTATGTTGCCTGTGTTGCCCACTACCTGTGTTACATAACTTATGTTGCCTGTGTTGCCCACTACCTGTGTCACATAACTTGTGTTGCCTGTGTTGCCCACTACCTGTGTCACATAACATATGTTGCCTGTGTTGCGCACTACTTGTGTTACATAACTTATGTTGCCTGTGTTGCCCACTACCTGTGTTACATAACTTATGTTGCCTGTGTTGCCCACAACTTGTGTTACATAACTTGTGTTACCTGTGTTGCCCACTGCCTGTGTCACATAACTTATGTTGCCTGTGTTGCCCACTACCTGTGTTGCATAACTTATGTTGCCTGTGTTGCCCACTACCTGTGTCACATAACTTATGTTGCCTGTGTTGCCCACTACCTGTGTCACATGACATATTTTGCATGTGTTGCCCACTACCTGTGACACATGACATATGTTGCCTGTGTTGCCCACTACCTGTGTCACATGACATATGTTGCCTGTATTGCCCACTACCTGTGTCACATAACATATGTTGCCTGTGTTGCCCACTACCTATGTCACATGACATATGTTGCCTGTATTGCCCACTACCTGTGACACATGACATATGTTGCCTGTGTTGCCCACTACCTGTGTCACATGACATATGTTGCCTGTATTGCCCACTACCTGTGACACATGACATATGTTGCCTGTGTTGCCCACTACCTATGTCACATGACATATGTTGCCTGTATTGCCCACTACCTGTGACACATGACATATGTTGCCTGTGTTGCCCACTACCTGTGTCACATGACATATGTTGCCTGTATTGCCCACTACCTGTGACACATGACATATGTTGCCTGTGTTGCCCACTACCTATGTCACATGACATATGTTGCCTGTATTGCCCACTACCTGTGACACATGACATATGTTGCCTGTATTGCCCACTACCTGTGTCACATGACATATGTTGCCTGTATTGCCCACTACCTGTGACACATGACATATGTTGCCTGTGTTGCCCACTACCTGTGTCACATGACATATGTTGCCTGTATTGCCCACTACCTGTGACACATGACATATGTTGCCTGTGTTGCCCACTACCTGTGTCACATAACATATGTTACCTGTGTTGCCCACTACCTGTGTCACATGACATATGTTGCCTGTGTTGCCCACTACCTGTGTCACATAACATATGTTGCCTGTGTTGCCCACTACCTGTGTCACATAACTTATGTTGCATGTGTTGCCCACTACCTGTGTCACATAACTTATGTTGCATGTGTTGCCCACTACCTATGTCACATGACATATGTTGCCTGTATTGCCCACTACCTGTGTCACATGACATATGTTGCCTGTGTTGCCCACTACCTATGTCACATAACTTGTGTTGCCTGTGTTGCCCACTACCTGTGACACATAACTTATGTTGCCTGTGTTGCCCACTACCTGTGTCACATAACTTGTGTTACCTGTGTTGCCCACTACCTGTGTCACATAACTTATGTTGCATGTGTTGCCCACTACCTGTGTCACATAACTTGTGTTACCTGTGTTGCCCACTACCTGTGTCACATAACTTATGTTGCCTGTGTTGCCCACTACCTATGTCACATAACTTGTGTTACCTGTGTTGCCCACTACCTGTGTCACATAACTTGTGTTACCTGTGTTGCCCACTACCTGTGTCACATAACTTATGTTGCCTGTGTTGCCCACTACCTGTGTTACATAACTTATGTTGCCAGTGTTGCCCACTACCTATGTCACATAACTTGTGTTACCTGTGTTGCCCACTACCTGTGTCACATGACATATGTTGCATGTGTTGCCCACTACCTGTGTCACATAACTTATGTTGCCTGTGTTGCCCACTACCTATGTCACATAACTTATGTTGCCTGTGTTGCCCGCTACCTGTGTCACATAACTTATGTTGCCTGTGTTGCCCACTACCTGTGTCAAATAACTTGTGTTACCTGTGTTGCCCACTACCTGTGTCACATAACTTATGTTGCCTGTGTTGCCCACTACCTGTGTCACATAACTTATGTTGCCTGTGTTGCCCACTACCTGTGTCACATAACTTAACACTCACCTCACACTTGTTGTCATCGGCCACAGGTTCATGTATGTAGAAGGCGTCAAGGAAGAAATAAGGGGAAGACTCAAGAAACTTTTGGGCCTGAAATACAGATAGCATCATTGAAGACAGGGCTGCTGTATTTCTACTTCCTTCAATGCAATGTTTCAGGCAGGTTACTTGCCCATTTGTCAAAGGTGACGGTCACCATGATACAGGCATCTTGACAGGGTACTAGTAAAGAATAAAAGAATAAGTTAATTCTGTTATCAAAAAAGATTCGAGGCAACAGCTAACAAGAATATACAACTGGGGCTGATACAGAAAGCCTAGACTTACATTTAGTCCCATAAATAAAGTGATCTGAAGATCTCATCTACAAAATAAAATAACAAATCTAAATGGAGCCCAGAACAATGCTTAATTTCAGGAGCTGAGGCAATCTGGACTTGCCAAATTCTTCTAGATTTGAGTGAAGCATTTCTCTAGGATGTGGAAGACTACAGAAACACCATAGGGGAGCCTCATGGTCCATGTGCCACTGTGATTCAGGTGCTACACGACTTAATGCAGTAGCAAACAGCACTCCCCCAATCGTGGTGTAACGAGAATTGGGTGTGAGTTCTGTCAGTGACATACTACCTCTTTATCCGAGAAGCTGAGCTGGCACTGTGACCTGCCGTAGATGAAGATGGCCCGGACAACATGTGATGGAGGGATAACGCTCTGATCTCCCAGAACTACAGGCAACTCAACATTCTCCTTCCTGAAACAAACAGACACTGACAGTCTTTATGGAGACATTTACATATTACTAGCCTGGTCTCAAATTAGAAGACTTAACTTCACTTGGAAGTGGTTTTGCATATATACTGAACAGCATTGAAAACGAACCAGCAATAAATCTTTAAATATTACAAAAAACAACTTGAGCAATGATCAATTTTGATTAGAAAAGACATAGACGGATTATTAAGAAAGACGACAAAGGAAACAGGAATACCACACAGTAATTACAATTACTTCATCAGTGTAAGGAAGACACGTAGGGTTAAAATGAAAAGTCAATATCTGGTATGTCCGCCATTGACAGCAACACAGGCCATGCAACGTCTTCTCATTGATCGAATAAGTCTGTTCTGGGGCATTCCACTCTTGACGTAGTGTATCTTCAAGTTCTCTCAGGTTCTGTACTTGCGGACGACGTCAGAGGCGTTGACCCAGGTAATCCCATAGATGTTCAACTGGCGATAGATCGGGTGACAGGGCTGGCCATGGAAGCAGAGGCACATTATTGTTCGCTAGGTACTGTGTTGAAACACATGCTGTGTGCGCTCTTGCATTATCTTGCTGGAAGGTGTGCATATCCTGGTGCTGATGAAAGAATGGGATGACGTGATTTGCCAATATGTTATTCCTGTAGTAAAGGGCATTAACTCTTCCACGACAAACATGGAGCTCTGTTCGATGGTTATGACTGATGCCGCTCCACACCATGACACTCCCTCCCCCCCCCATCGATCTGTCTGTACAACGCAGTCATTGTGGTAACGTTCTCCACGCAGACGCCACACTCGCAGTCGACCGTCAGCATTCCGTAAATGAAAACGGGACTCATCAAAGAACAGCAGTCCATGCCACTGCCGCAATCTCCAATGACGATGCCTTTTGGCCCAACGCAGACGTTCATTTCGATGTCGATCAGTGAGTATGGGTCCAACATATGGACGTCGAGCACGTAGCCCTGCTGAGCAGAGACATCTACGTACGGTGTCGGCACTGATCAATTCAGTCGGCCTTGTACGGTTACTGCAGTCCTGGTAGCCGGAAGTGTACGATCACGAAGATGCCGACAAACAATATGGCGATCCTGACGTGGATCAAGGCACGTTCATGTTCCTCTGCTGTTAATCTTGGCATTTCTTGTGTCAGTACCCTTTACGTCTGCAGCAACAAGTGATGTGGCTTTTAAAAGTCTGTCTTTTATAGCCCTATTCTGCTCGCTTCCCGTGAAACAAAACACGTTTTCCATGATGTGCACGCAGTTTGTTGCGTTTTGGCGATTTCGCTCACACAAAATTTAGGAATATGTTTTGACGAGCTGTTCTTCTTCATGCTTCGTCCAGAACGTCGTATATTACTCATACACTTATATATTTTCATATGACTTAAGCCCGGATAAAAATACATCCATTTTCATGGTGGTGCGTTTTCAATGCTGTTCAGTATATAATAAATTCATGACAGTCAGACAGACACCTTTTCTGGAAACACAACCATCTTAAATGGGACATACGCATGACATATAGCTTTGAAGCAGCATAAAATATTTTTCTAGATTTGAATTCTGATGCTGGTGAGGTGAGGTGAGGTGAGGTGAGGTGAGGTGAGGTGAGGTGAGGTGAGGTGAAATGGGGTCCAAGATTATTATAGCCCACTGAGATACCATGCCGCAGTTCAACATGAATACCACACTCAGACACAGTATACTGACTCCAAGCCAACCAGTCCTTGTTTTAGCCCCTTAATGCCAACGTCTTTTGGTATGACGTGGCCGGGGATCGAACCCTGCACCTTCTGCTCTCCGGGCGGACGCTCTACAACTAGGCCAGTAGATAATAAGAGTACCTAAATAATAGCATTCAAATATATCGAGCACTCCAACTTACAAAGTGTTATACAGAGAGGACAGGTCGAAGGAGGTACACTCCGATGTCGTGCTGTACTCCTCAAGATGGTGGATGATTTCCCGAGCGCTGTACGTGAAATCACTCACCTGAAACAGATCAACTCAGCATGTCAAGAATGATTAAACTTGTGATAACTAGGGTTAGGACGATACACCAACTGTACGTGCTAACACATATCACGATACATTGCTCACTCATGTGCTCTCATGTGCTCTAACACTGTGATAAGCCATCTTTTTCATAGGCAGGATGGCCAAATACCTAGAACACTAATGATTTACAGTTTGCAGTGTCAAGAATGGTGCAATGGATGAAAATAGTTACGTTTTTAGTACGCAGTTTCACTAGTAATTACTGTTTGTGGTAAAGAATACATTTAAAGTAAGAATTGAAACTTTTTACTTAGTGTGCGATTGTGATCGATACTTGTATTGAGATGTTAAACATTGTGATCCACCGATGCATCGTCCCACTACCAGTGATAACAAAAGTGAAGATAACAAGACAACAGCGTTATCACTATCCCCCGCCATGGGGCACATTAGAATTTTGCTTGCTCACATAGTAGTGAATATAACTATAAAAAAAGAGTCCTATAAAGCCTTAAGAAGAGACAGGCACTGGGGCTGCTTAATGTCATCAGAAAAAATGATTAAATGTGAAATTAAGTGAAAAATATAACTCAGTTTTGATAAGTATCTCCTAGACAAGCTAACTTCAGTAGTTTCTTGTCCCCACTGCAGACACTATGTATGCACCCAGTAAATTAACATGGATCAAGAGCCGTAACTCTGTCAAAAAATAATTTACCAATTTTTTAACTCAGTCTTGACAAGTTTCTCTTAGATAACCATGCAAACTTTCATTCATGTAACCTCAGAACAGAAAACATGTCTCTTTTGCACACAGTATGCACTAAGTGAGTGAGTGAGAATGGTTTTACGCCACTTTTAGCAATATTTCAGCAATATCATGGCGGGGGACACCAGAAATGGGCTTCACTCATTGTACCCATGTCGGGAATCGAACCCGAGTCTTCAGCGTGCACTAAGTGAAATAACATGGATCAAGTGTCATAACTCTGTAAACAAATCATTTACGGCACCAATTTTCGAACTCAGTCTTGACAAGTTTCTCTCAGCTAAGTTTGCAAAGTTTCATTTATAAGGATAGAAATGTATTGCTTTTTTTAAGTGTGCCACCAGTGGCCACATGGCACTTATTAAAACCATACACAAGCTAAATTTGTTTTTCATGATCGAGGGGTATTGAACAAACTTAGTTCAAACATGGATTAACTAAAACTGCTTTGATAATAGATACAAGGCAATTACATACCTTGTCAAATCCATAAACTGAAAAACATTAAACATTTTTATCTTACAGCACAAATATGAACCAATGATACACCATACCCAGCAGGCCTCCTCTTGCATGATGACAAGTGCAAACTGGTGATAGTGATTCAGTTTGGATTTAGTCTGGAGGAACAACCCAAGTGCTCTCTTTATCAACTTCAGTGGTGCAAATTTGTCCCTGAAAACAGATAATGGATCACATGAATGAAAATTGAACATCAAGCCTATGCTTATGGGTTGCACAGTAAGATGTAATCGCTCAATGACAGGATGGTCCTAGTTAAAAAATACACCTTTACAAATGACTCTCTTTTCACCTGTTCCAAGAATATTCATTATAGCCTGTTTGAAATAACAAAAGATTTTCATACATATCTCATTTATTATCTGATTAATGTTTATCAAAGAAATAATCAGATGAGCAATAAATTTAATAAGTCATCACATTATTATCTTGTAATATAAACATGTCTCACCCTGATCTTGATCTGAAGCTTAACTTGTTCATTTCAGATGACATATCAAGACATATAACCTACAATGAAAAGCAAAGGAAATCATCATAACAATATCTACAAAGTTAAGCGACAAGAGAGAGTGAGTGAGTTGGGTTAAAAGCCGCTTTTGATTTCCAGCTTTTGTATATCGTGGCGTGTCAACTTAACGAGGAAGGAAAGCCCAAAGTGATGCAGGTCTCAGACATTGACCACCTTGGTGAAACCCTCAAGCACAGGTATGGTGCTGACAAACCTAGAAACATAATCGAGGCAAACTGGATTCGAACCCATGATCATAGGTTTCTGGCATGCCAAAGGGATGTAACTCTGCACAGTGATTTGCAGTGCCTTAGGTGACTGGGCCACCCATGCCACCTAAAAGGGACTGGACATCAACCGTTCGGAAGCTTTGTTTTTTAAACATTAGCCGATAACCCCCGAGCTTACTCGGCTATGCTCGCTTTTTTCTGCGATTGAATGTTCTGCCCCAATGATCACACAGTGGTTGTAGTCTTATCACGTGACTGGACTTTTCTTTCTTTTTTTTAAACAAATGTACTTATTCTGAAAAAAGAACATACAGGCCGAATGCAAGCTTTATGGTGCATTTTACATATTGTTTTGCATAATTACATATAGACATGCTGCTTCAATTGAGACAGTGAGGTACATGACAACATAGCTTTACACATGAAAGTGACAGCATTGCTATTTCGCCGTATGGCTTCGATGACAGCTTGTAGAAGATAAATACACAAATGGAAACAGTTTTTCATGTTGGACGCAAGGAACAAGGAAAGTGATTGGCTTCATCATATGTTCATATGACTGAGGCATATTTATACTGGAATCTAGGCTTTGATAAACTCTGGCTTCAAATCTAATCAAGCTGGCAATTAGTATGATGTACCTCATCCATACGAAAAACATACAAACTTTCAAAAAACATTACGAAAACCAGTTTACTCTCTGAAGCGCTTGCATTATTGGTTATGCCGTGCAGACTTGGAAATTATTTCATGCATGATTCAAAAACACACAGAACCATTGATGGACTGTCCCTTTAAGCGACACGATGAAATGTTAATGCTGAAAACAAACATCTACATGAACATCACAAATAACTTCATGACAATGCTAAAGTTGTCACTAGGTAGGATAAGTGGTCTAAGTTGCCACAGCTTGCTATACAGAGTTGCATCCCTTTACTGCCAGGATCAGTTGGTTGTTAGTTTGAATCCCAGATTCACCTCATTTATCATCCTTTTAGTATCCTACCATTATTGCTGGCCTCACCTAAAGGGTTTATGTCTAGACCTAGAAATGGTATTGGAGTTTGGGTTTGGCATGTGTTTGGGGGAGTCAGTGAAGAAAAACATGATAGGATCTGAAAAAGGAGGCTGGGTTTCCATGCTCCCAAACTCCGGCTCGCCACTAAATGTACACATGTATAATGTCATTATTGTAATAAATATTCACAGTACTGAATGTTTTTCAAAGGATGAGACAAATACATACTATTTTTTCCGGGCAGTTGACTCGAGGATAGTTTAGATCAGTAATTCCACTAATCTGATCAGCTTCATTAAAATCAGAATCATCTTTCTCAACCGGTTCGGTGTGAGATCTTCGCCTCAGCCCTTGATCTGGAACACTGACAGGGGCTTGTTGAACATTCGGATCATTCTCATTTCCGATCCCCACCTCTTGCAAGACGGAGTCCAATCCATAGAGTGGGTTGGGGCTTGGAGAAATACTCCTGCTTTGCGTCGGTATCGGATCCATTAAAAATCACTAAGGTATAAAGAAAACAGTATTACCTCTGTAACAAGAAGTGTTTTAAATTGTTGAGTCAATAATGTTAACTTCCTTCGACATAGTACTGTCAGTGATTGTCCACTGCTTCTTAAATCTGGAAAACAAACCACTGTAAGTTGTTGAAGCTGTCACTTATTAAAATCACCTACTGAGTTACCTCCCTTGGAATTCTCCTATAGTCTCTAACAGAAATCTATTGATTAAAATCTGCAAAAGGAGCGTGTGTGTTTCAATATAAGTCATTCTAAAATCTTAATAAATATTATTGATACTAAAGTGATCTTTTTGTTTGTATGTATAAAGCGCAAAGGGGTTTCTATACATTCCATTTCGGTTCGAGGTACAAGGCTGTACAAGAAAAATGGTTTCCTGACCTGGCATTCTCTGGTACACACTGTACGCAATTTGCATCTTGTTTTGCGTATGTTTATTTCGAACCCGTCTTTGATCCTCAGTGGTTTACAGTTTCATTTAATATATCTTTTGTGGATTATTTTGCCTTATATGACAGATGCTTTAACAGAATATCTCCTGACTTTCGACAGGTTTATCATTTTCATACATGAGACATCAGTCATTTAGGCCTATGATATTACATAATAGGATAGGTTTTTGACAAGTATGCCATTCGTTTCATATATATATGACCAACCTAAATGATGCATTGATGTTATACATGATTCTGAATTATCTGTTGAAAAGGGTATGCAGCAAATCAAGTAAAATATTGATCTAGTCTATCATTTTGTGTATTTAACCCACATCAGTAACTTGTTATGACGTGCGTGAGTCACTAACATGCTGACATGACACACTATTTCACGTTTTTTTGTATCTCACATGACATGATGATGTGTAGTTTTGTATCATTCATCATTGGTTGGGTCAAACGGTTTTTGAATGGCATATACATATGCTTTTCGACTCAAACCAAGATTGTGAAGAAATTAATATCCAGAAACACTCAACAGAATATGATGACATGACTGAAAGTGTCATTGGTGTTGACAAGAGGCAATATGTTGTACATAAACAGTTTGTGTGTATGAACAAGGGGTCAACTGCTGTGTTTGGGTCCCTGCCTTTGGCAGCCTCCACGAACGTGTGACTGCCTCTGGCAGCATCCTTATATTGCATGCCCAAAGCTGTTAGGATGGAAGCATTTTAATAAAACAATAAATGTGAAATGAGTGTGAAAGGTATTGTCTAAAACTCAGCCCCTATTGGGACCAAGAGTTTTCAGCTCATGTTCTTGTACATTGTGTGGTGCATGAAAAAAGATGATGCCATGTATGAGTACATAATTTTCCATAAAATGATCTGGTAAAACAGTCATTTGTAACTGTGGGATTGGTAAAATCCGACACTTAGTAATGATTTCTAATACTTCCGAATCATTGGAGTATCTTTTATGCATGACAAATGAGAAAGAAATATTGCTACGTAAACTGCATAGAGTGAGTAGTTATTTCTTCAAATTGTTATCTACGTCAAATGGCGGTAGCTTTAGCTTTTGATGGTGATGCATTTCACGGAATAGAAAATTTGGAACAACAGTAGTAGCAATCTTTTTGTTTTGCCACCAGTTTTCAGTTAACATGGAATGACCATGTTAATTTATAAAATGCAATGATGAGAAGACATTCTACCTTGTTTGACATCTATGCCTATGGTCATGTCAAAACAAACTTACAGCAGTGTCCATTGAGTGATTGTATTGAAAGGCGGTTCCACTGCTGACAAGAATGGTAGTTTCATTAGAAACAATTCAATTTGTTCAAATAACCATTTTCCAATTGATCAAAAGTATTGTTTTTAGCACACATAAATTCCGGAGGGCATACTAAACATCTGAGTGCCCAGTGACACAATTGAAAACCAAACCAAACATCTTTGTCACTGCCCCTGATGACCAAATGCTACATGTGTATTATTTGTGAAGTGAACCCAATTATTATGGTCATGTTATAATAATGAGTTTTTCCAAAGGGGTAAACTATGTGGAAGGCCATTTCTTTAAGTTGCATCCACATAACTTCTAGAATATGAGATCTAACACTTAGTTATGTCAGCATTAGAAATTGGCACTGGTCCTACAGTCCTTGCCAAACTGCCCAATATCATAAGGACTAGTACACATTTGCCATATTTAAGGGTTTTGCTATATGTTATCATCATAAGGACTAGTGGATTATGATTTTAGTTTCTACTGCATATGCAGCTATCACACTATTTGTTATTATGTATTTATTTCATCGCAGATAATTATCCTGTCAAGAAGATGTTACCAAGGCAGTAGGTTTAGTGGAAAGGGTTGACCTTGTGTAGGTTTTTTCCCTTACCAATTGGAATATTTCCACATTGCAATTGTCACCCAAGGCAGTTTGGTGGTTCAGTGGGTGAAGTCGCAGCGTCTTGCTGAGCAGGGAGTTCCATCCCTTAGCCATGCCAGGATTCAGTGATTATAGGTTTGAATTCCTCCAAACGTGTCCCAATAATGATCTTTGGCCTGTCAGCACCACAGCCATTTTCATGGGCTTCACCAAAGTGCTAAACTTCTAAGACTTGGGTCACTTAGGAATGATGATAATAATAATAATGCATATATATGTGTTATGCCATATCTACCCGAACACACATGCTCTTGGTGCAACATTATTACCCTGGTCAACAGATCAGTGTGCATTTAAATTTATTTCTCAGCTCCCTGGGGAATATACAGCTTGGACAGTATGCTGACACGCCATGATACTGTTGAAAGTGGCGTTAAACTCACTCACACATTTGTCTTGTTTTGCAGGATAATGGGGAACTAAACAACTACAGCAAACACAAGTAGTCTCCATAGTCGCTGATAATGAACAACGCCGACCAGGAAAACAACAATATCAACAATGATGCCAACAGGAGACGCAACAGTAATGGAGCTGGTGGGCGGGCACAGCCCAACCCCATCCTGCATGTCCGAGACAGGCTGTTCCATGCCTTATTCTACAGAATAGCAATAACATATGCCAGAGCCTTTCCCCGCCCTGTCAGACGGGTGCTAGAGTGCGCCATCTTGCTGAAGGTGAGTATTATTTCAGGACATATAGCACAAACTTTTGGACCAACACCAACAAAGATAGATAGTTTGTAGACACTTACACTGGCATGTGTCTCCTTTACCTACAATGGTGATGATTTTCATTTTCAGAGAGACATATCAGGTTAGATGGTTACAGTCGTTATTTATGGACATGTACTGTAAATTTATAAATCCTGAAAACTCGCGGGCTTGCTACCCAGCCCGCACCCAAGAGGCCAGAACTTACAGGGACAGTATGAGTTTTTCTGTGTTTTTTTAAATCATGAGTGAAATAATTTTCAAGTGTGAGGTCACATGCCTGATTTAATTCTCAAACCCAAAGAATAGAGCTCCGCACAACGAAGCCGAGAGTGCAATTGATGAGCAGAGTAAATTGGCTTCAGTAATGTTTTTATTAGAGTCAAATTGATGACAAAGCTCGTATGTTTTTCTTACAGTAGATTTACAAAATGCTAATTGCCAGCTTGATTAGATTAGAAGCCTGTGTTAACCAAAGCTTAGATTACAATCTGCCTCGGTCAAATGAAGTCAATCACTCTCTTACCCAGGGTTCCTTGCGGCCAGCCGAGTAGCTCTGTGACATCATTACATTTTACACAATCCATTCTTGTGTATTTCACCTGTTTTATTTTAGACAAGTCTACACATTTAGATAAACATAACTTTCATTGAGAAAATATCCTGAACAGTGAAAAACAATTTCCCTTTCTGTATTTTTCCTCCAAGTGCTATCATGGAAGCCCTACAGAGAGCTAGCAATAGACCTGTGAATATCCGGGGTGGAATAGGTCTTCAGCAACCCATGCTTGTCCTAAAAAGCGACTGCTTGTCGTAAAAGGCGACTAACGGGATCAGGTAGTCAGGATCGCTGACTCAGTTGATGCATGTCATTGTATCCCAATTGCGTGGATCAATACTCATGATGTCAAACACTGGATTGTCTGTTCCAGACTTGATTATTTACAGACCACCATCATATAGATGGAATATTGCTGAGTGTGGCGTTGAACAACAAACAAACAAGCTAGCAATATGGTCACTTGGATGTGTAAAGCTAAATTGTCATGGTCCTCTCAGTTGCAGTTGTAGCATAATGTCTGTATAATTATTCAAAACAATATGTATAGCACACCAGAAGGTTTGAATTAGGCCTGTCTCATTATGTTTCTAGGTTTGTGAGCACCTTTCCTGTGTTTTTTGTTGCAGGCGTTGACAGTACTGGGTATTTTGGTGTACATACATGTTGTGTTTGCGAGGACTCCCATCAACTGTCTGCAAAGTGTTCAGAAGTCCTGGCCAAGACATGGCATCCTCAGAGTGGAGATCGTCAAGAATGCCTCGGCGAACTACAGCATCATAAACTCATATGAGAAAGAGTATTCAGATTTTTCCCTCTATTTGGACAACATAGCTGATGGCATAGGCTATCCTGGTGCATTAAATGGGGACGAAAATGCTGAGAATGAAACTGAAATTGCTTCAAATTCGACGGATGAAGCATTGACCCAGGAAGAGGGGAATGAGACGGAAGGGAATGGTACTGTTATTGGGGAGGAGGAGGAGGCGGAGGTACTGGTGCTGGATGAGGTATTGGACAAGGTGGTGGACTACTCTGCAGATCACAACAGCAACAACATACCTGAGGATGCTACAGGGGAACATCTCAAAGACACTTTCAGTGAATTAGAAATGTTGGCCAAGGCTGGTAGGTTGTTTTTCTGGTAGCAATGATTTTTGTCTGATGTATAAATGTGTAGGAATAACACGACAGCCCTGGAAGGGATGACTATGATTCAGCCAAGTTCGGGTAAGAATAGGTCCCCACCAACCTATGCTCGTCATTAAAGGCGTCTATATGGACTGGGTGTCATTGTCAGTGACTGTGTTGATTGCATGTCATTGTACCGTGATGTTGCTCATAATGTCAATCACTGGTTTGTCTGGTCCAGGTTCAATAATTCCAGGGCAATGTCATATAGCTGGAACTTGCTGAGTTCTAGCTTTAACAATATTACAAACAACCAACAACTTGACTTTGCCCATGTTACATCTTGTGCCAATATATCATATTGTGGTGTATCTATATTTCAAAGCCATGTGTAGGTGCAAATCTATTCTTGTGTGTGTTTGGGCGGTCGGGTAGCCTAGTGGTTAAAGCGTTCCCTACATGGGTACAATGTGTGAAGCCCATTTCTGTTATGGGCTGTGATATTGCTGGAATATTGCTAAAAGTGGCGTAGAACCATACTCACTCATGTGTTTGTCTAGTGAAGCACATTGTAACCTGAGAGAATCCGTTTCAGTGTGGCCTGAGGAGAAGTACATTGTGGAGTATGCCCTGGAGTATGGCTTTCTCCGACTGTCGCCCAAGACGAGGCAGCGGCTCAACATCACCGTCATGCTGGTGACTCTCGGTTAGTTCCTGATTCCATTATGAAACCGGTCATGTTTGAGGGAAGATGGCTTCAGTTTTTACTCAGTTACTGAAGTGTTGTAGCTTTTGTGAACATTACCAATGCTGTTGTAAATGTTTGTACAGAAAGGACTAGTGCTCAGTTTACAACTTGTTTGATTCTTTTTATAGTTATGTAATGAAATATCTCCAACTTGGCTGATTCTGTATGTTTGTTAAACATGTTTACTTAATCTGTGAGTGATTCTGTATGTTTGATATGGTGGGTGTGTTAACCAATGTTTGGCAATATTTAGTTCTGTGTGTTTGTTATGTTTTCTGATTCTGAAGGTATAAATACGTATGTTTGTGATTCTGTATGCTTGTCTGATTCTGTATGTTTCTGCTTAGTCTGTCTGTCTTCTGAAGTCTACTTGTATCAGATTGGGTTTGCTTGTGTCTGATTGTGTCTGATAGTGTCTACTTGTCAGATTGTTTGATTGTCTGCTTGTGTTACTGCAGACCCCCTGAAGGACGAGTGTGTTTGATAGTGTCTACTTGTGTCAGATTGTTTGATTGTCTGCTTGTGTTGCTGCAGACCCCCTGAAGGACGAGTGTGTTTGATAGCGTCTACTTGTGTCAGATTGTTTGATTGTCTGCTTGTGTTGCTGCAGACCCCCTGAAGGACGAGTGTGTTTGATAGCGTCTACTTGCGTCAGATTGTTTGATTGTCTGCTTGTGTTGCTGCAGACCCCTGAAGGACGAGTGTGTTTGATTGTGTCTACTTGTGTCAGATTGTTTGATTGTCTGCTTATGTTGCTGCAGACCCCCTGAAGGACGAGTGTGTTTGATAGTGTCTACTTGTGTCAGATTGTTTGATTGTCTGCTTGTGTTGCTGCAGACCCCCTGAAGGACGAGTGTTTTGGGGACAGCTTCAGTCGCTTCCTGCTGGAGGAATTCCTCGGATATGACGACATCCTCATGTCCAGCATCAAGCAGCTGGCCGAGCAGGAGGAAAACAAAGGTACACTGACTCTTGTCTCTAAACAATGATACATGCATGCTGGAGTGATGTAAGTCCAGGCTGGCTTAGATCAAGGGAACAGTAGTGACTCTACATCTTCTTAGGTGATTGGTGGGATAGCCTAGTGGTCTAAGCGCAAGCCCACAACACCTGAAAACCAGGTTCGATTCCCCACAAGATTGCAATGTGCCCATTCTTGTCATCCCAAACTGTGATGTGGCTTGAGTATAGCTAAAATAAATAAAACCACTCTCACTTACTCCCTCAATGACAAGGCATTGGATAATCATATGGCAAGATTGACTTGTAATAACTTTCAGCAGAATTTTAGAAGCTAAAGTATCATTGAAGACAAAAGTAAACTATGGATTTCAACTCCTTGATTCAATCAATGGGATGTTTTGGTACAGATGCTCGATAAAAGACAGCATCTGTACTGGAATGTTGCATTAAATGAATAAGGAATTTGAAATCCACAGTGAAGTCTGTCTTCATGATTGCCTAGATAGAGAACAGAATTGCTGTGTGATGGGGATGTTAACATGACTACTGTTGTCTGCAGGCTTCCTGAGGAATGTTGTGACCGGGGAGCATTACCGGTTTGTCAGCATGTGGATGGCACGGAGCTCCTACATCGCTGCAGCCTTCATCATGCTTGTCTTTGTAAGTATATTAACATGACCACCATAGCATTTGGAAAAATTGTCAGGGAGTGTTAAGGGCAATTTTCTGAACATATTATGTATCATGTTAAACTTTCTTCTTTGAAACTCACCCTGACAGCCTCACAAGTCTTCGTTGATCATCCGTCCATCTGCTCTGAACTCTTCAAAACTATTGGATGTATCAGTACAAGATTTCTGTCACATGTTATACATGCCCCTGGCTACAAGTGGACTTTTCATTTAAAGTGTGTGTGGATAGAATGTTTTAGACAAACTGATACTTATCAGGGATGCAAATTGGCACTAGTCTGCCAGACAGGAGCAGTTTGTTAAATGTTAATGAGGGCTGGTAGAAGCTTTTGCCTTTTTGGCTCAAGTTTGAGATAGGAAATGTTTCAGATTAAGTTGTATTATTCGTCACTCGTCACTAAAGATGAGATTCTGTACCTCTCTACCACTGGAGGTTCTGTACCTCTCTACCACTGGAGGTTCTGTACCTCTCTACCACTGGAGGTTCTGTACCTCTCTACCACTGGAGGCTCTGTACCTCTCTACCACTGGAGGTTCTGTACCTCTCTACCACTGGAGGTTCTGTACCTCTCTACCACTGGAGGTTCTGTACCTCTCTACCACTGGAGGTTCTGTACCTCTCTACCACTGGAGGTTCTGTACCTCTCTACCACTGGAGGTTCTGTACCTCTACCACTGGAGGCTCTGTACCTCTCTACCACTGGAGGTTCTGTACCTCTCTACCACTGGAGGTTCTGTACCTCTCTACCACTGGAGGTTCTGTACCTCTACCACTGGAGGCTCTGTACCTCTCTACCACTGGAGGTTCTGTACCTCTCTACCACTGGAGGTTCTGTACCTCTCTACCACTGGAGGTTCTGTACCTCTCTACCACCGGAGGTTCTGTACTATACCACTGGAGGTTCTGTACCTCTCTACCACTGGAGGTTCTGTACCTCTCTACCACTGGAGGTTCTGTACCTCTACCACTGGAGGCTCTGTACCTCTCTACCACTGGAGGTTCTGTACCTCTCTACAACTGGAGGCTCTGTACCGTTCTACCACTGGAGGTTCTGTACCTCTCTACAACTGGAGGCTCTGTACCTCTCTACCACTGGAGGTTCTGTACCTCTCTACCACTGGAGGTTCTGTACCTCTCTACCACTGGAGGTTCTGTACCTCTATACCACTGGAGGTTCTGTACCTCTACAACTGGAGGCTCTGTACCTCTCTACCACTGGAGGTTCTGTACCTCTCTACCACTGGAGGTTCTGTACCTCTATACCACTGGAGGTTCTGTACCTCTACCACTGGAGGCTCTGTACCTCTCTACCACTGGAGGTTCTGTACCTCTCTACCACTGGAGGTTCTGTACCTCTCTACCACTGGAGGCTCTGTACCTCTCTACCACCGGAGGTTCTGTACCTCTCTACCACTGGAGGTTCTGTACCTCTCTACCACTGGAGGTTCTGGGGCAGAATATGGCCACAGTATGCTGTGAATATTGTCAGAGCCAACTCGGACCAGGTGGTTACAGAAGAGATCTGGCTGATTGTGTGTCATTGTGCACAAACAACCCGAATCAATGTCCATGCTCATGTTATCAACCACTGGTTTACCTGGCCCAGACTTGATTGTTTTAAGGCTGCCTATGATATGGCTGAGATATGGCTTTGGTGTAACACAACATGCATCATTCATTTTTCTTTGTCAGTGAATTTGTTCTTCCTTTCAGACTGTGTCAGTGTCAACACTGTTGAGGTATTCTCACCACCAGATCTTCCTCTTCATAGGTAAGTGAGAAATACATTTGGTAACTTATCCTGCATTATTACCTTAAAGGCACCTGCTCCTGCGCTGTTGGCGCCTCTTGCACATCATTAAATACTTCCTTGTTGCCATTGTCTACAGCTGCTTCATGTCCTCCCTTGGCTTCCCTAGAGGACGCCACTACTTTTTGTCAGACTTCTACACGGGGCGCTATCTCTCCCGTGTCCTCCCGCCTCACTTCCAAATCCGCTCGATCCCGTCACTGCTTTTGTAGTCATTCTCTGCTTCACAGGCAGTATGACTACCTGTCTGATTCTTCGACGAGCTCCATCGGTTTGTCTTTTGAGACTGCTCCTTTGGATCCGGGCACTCACCTGGGGCCTTTGCCAGAAGTACCGTCTCTGTCTCTCTCGTAGCAGACCCACCTTTGACCTCCACACCTCTGGCGGACGCCAACCCTCCTTGTCAAGCTCAGCATCTCTTGTTACTCAAGCAGGCAGTCGAGATTGTTCACAATCCCATTGCGCATCGTTTCTACTTTCCAATGTTCCTGGTGCCAAAGAAGGATTCATCCAACTTCAGAATGATCCACAATCTCACTGTCTTCAACAAGTGTTATCTGAAGCGTCCTCCATACTTTTGTCTGACTACGTTGGAGACTACTCAGGACCAGAATCAATGCCAATGACTCCCTGATCAGTCTCAAAACCAGGACATCCTAACTTCCAGTCACGTGGTAGCTGTGAGTGGTATGAGCCACACCACTAGATGGAACAACTTTTTCTGCAGCCTGGACCTCTCACAGCCCCGTCTATCTGTAAAAAAAACAACCCAGTAGTAAAAGCATTGAGGTAGTAATGCAGGATAAGTATTCAAATGTTAAAAATATTTAGATTTTACTCATATTGTAGGGGCTAAAGTCCCACGGGTGCATCAAGTATTTCATATATTTTCTTGTCAGATTCTGTTTTTCCAAAGTGTCATTTAGCATTGTAAGGAAAAGCCTTATCCCAAGCTTCTAGAATCAGATGCTTATCCCTGTTGTACATTTCAGTTGACCTACTGCAGATGCTGGAGATGAATGTGACAGTTGCCTTCCCAGCTGCTCCCCTGCTCACGGTCATCCTGGCTCTTGTTGGTCAGTATGGAAACTGTGCTCACTACTCGCACTTCCAGTCATCAAACTTCATATCAAATATTCGGAATTTAAAGAATTTTAAACATTGAAGACAACCAGTCCTTGTATTCTCCCTATTTCTTATGTAGAAGAATTAAACATTAAGCATACTCGAAGCCTCACAAAATCAGGGAAATATTAAGTCTCTGTGGATTTTGGAGTATTCACTCAAGTGCTGTTTATTCCTCTCTGTATTAGTGATAAGACTTTGTTGAATATTTTCCCTCGTGTATTGCCAGGAATGGAAGCCATAATGTCCGAGTTCTTCAATGACACAACAACAGCTTTCTACATCATCCTGATAGTGTGGATAGCTGACCAGTATGACGCTATCTGCTGCCACACCAACATCAGCAAGAGACATTGGCTCAGGTAACACCTGCTGTAGTAGACAACTGTGTAGGCTAGGTAGGACCTTCTCTTGGATTACAGAATGGCAAGTCTGGGAAATTGACTTGGCCAGGAGCCAGCAAACCAGTGGTCAACTATGGGAGCATGTGGTCATGCAATGGGGATATAATCTGACTCTAGATCAGCCTTTCTACTACTGTTTACTTAAGCATGGCTTGATTTAAGGAACTGGATTAAACTTGCACTAGGTGTATGTTGACATAAAAACCTAGTTGCACCAGATTAAACCAGCATGAACCCTGGTCCCATAAATTTATCTAAGTTGAAGCATAGGCCTGTCTGTTGCCAGTGTCACATAATTTATTGACGGATGACTGTTAATACCCACAGTTTGATGAGGTCAAGCCCAAGAAAGAATGACAAATTACACATAACACAGGGATTAGTGATGTAGTGTGGTAATTAAATCTTCGAGGTATTGAGTGTGTTCAAAGATCGTTGTTGTGTGGTCCAGTAAGGGTCAGTCAGAAACACATTTACACTTTCTTTGCATGCACTTGGTGCATGTAGACATACATATAAGGTTGCATTGTTCAATAATAGGTTGCATTGGTATATGTTATATATAGCTAAATCGAGCCCTGTTAAGGTACGACAGTCACAAGTTGATGTCATCTTTGCACTGAGATAGCTTCATGGAATTGGTCCTGTCACAACTGGGTGCCGTTGTACAAAACAACCTTATCAATACGACTGTAGTAAGTCTATATCAAGGTATGGGTGTTACAATTGCCTTAGTGCTAAGACTGCGTTGTACAACGACACTCAGGTCTGTTTGTGTTCAGAATTTAAGGCTTTCCCTTTTGCTATTAACCTACGTCAGTTTATTTTCATTGCTTAAAATAGAAATAGAATAGTTCCACGTTTAAATGTTAGGGTGGCAATAATGAAAGTAAAAGTCGTCTGTTGTGGCCCTTGTATTGTCTTGTAGCCAGAGATAACTGCCAGAAAGAGCTACCACATTCTTAATACTTATCTAATGTGTATTTTGTGTTGCAGGTTCTTTTACATGTATCACTTTGCCTTCTATGCCTATCACTACCGGTTCAACGGTCAGTACAGTGGCTTGGCTCTCTTCACCTCTTGGCTGTTCATACAGGTCAGTTGAAACTTGCACATCCAGGAAAGACAGCTGTTCAATGCATTACTGCAGTCATACTCAATGAACCTTGTGCTAGTTTGACCTTCTCAGGAGACATAAAAATGATTGATAAAAAAAGAAGTCAGAAATGTACAATCTGTGGTAAATCTACAGGGAGTTGGTTTGGATGTAGTCAGATTTGAATAGTGCTGCAATGTTAATTACCAGTCACACATTTGATAGCCTTTGCAGGATGTGTTGAAAGATAGATATTTCTTTCATGTGTATAAAAGACAGGGTCGCTACTATAAGGGCTACATGATCCTGTTTTTAGGGGAAAGTAGCCCAATGGTCAATTCTCTGTGTTGTGAGAATCCAGTGATGGTTTTTCAATACTGGTTTCAAGCAGATTATGATCCTTTGTCAGTCACCAGTACTGGTGGGTTTCACAAATAATTAAAAAGTGGTAAACATCTTCAACTTGCATGCTTTCTCCCCATGTATGCATATGTGAAAATTGATGTTCAAACTGGTGTTGAACCCATCTCATTCATTGTCAGCACCATGCATTTGTTTCAAAAAAGTTATAAATGTCTAGGCCCTGCATCACTTTGTTTCCTCTCCTGAGTCCTGATATGCTGTTATATCTAATATTATGTTGCAAATACCATTAAACCCAGTTGACTGACTGCTTGTGTTGTGTTGCCAGCACTCCATGATCTACTTCTTCCACCACTACGAGCTGCCTGCCATCCTCCAGCAGGCTCGCATACAGGAGCTGCTGGCTCAGCCTCACAACCAGGACGCCCACAACAACAACGCCCAGCCCAACGCCACTGCTGCCACAGCCGCAGCCGCTGCCGCTGCCAACATTGATGAGCAGCTTCGCGCCAACCTCGGGCCTGTGGACAATAACGTCGCTGGGATAAACAATGTACAGAATGCAAGTCCCGCCAGTGCTGAGAATGTCACACAGGGTCAGGAAACTGGGCAGGGGTCAGGTCAGGGCTTGGAGCCACAGCTGGAAGGGACTGTGGACAACCCTGATGACCAGAGAAGCATTGAGAGACGTGTGAATGATCTTCTGTCAGCTTTGAATCGACCTTCTACTGATGGTCAAACAACCAATACCAGGGAGTTTTCTGTGGACAGGGTGCGTGTTTACACACCAGGGACGTTCATGAGGAATTTTCTACGCTTTCGGGGCAATTCTGCTCAAAATCCTCCTAATAATCCTATGCCAAGTCCATCTCCAAGACCAGATTCACAAAACCTTTCCAGTAACAACCCCCCTGTTTCTCAACCTGAAGCCAATCCTTCTGGAAACAAACCTAATTCTTTGACTGAAGATGAAATAAGTCTGCATGATAATAAAACACTGAACAGCTCTAGCCATGTGTCTGAACCTTTACCAGCAAGCAGTTCAGACAATCCCTCCACATCAGGGGGCACAGAGCTGACGTCGGGGGGTACATACTCACTGTCAGGGGATACAGAGCCAACATCGGGGGGTACATACACACTGTCAGGGGGTACTGACTCACAGCTGTTTGATCTACCAAGGGGAGATAACTCCATCATGACAGCTCACTCTCCTACCTGTGCAAACCCAGCAATGTCTTCGAGCATGGACTCCCATTCTGATAATTCTCAGACATCAGTGAAAGATGTATATAGTAGACAACCTATACACCATATTGTTGAAAACACTGCCAGTTTAGGGAACTCAGTGCCACGAGATAACTTGTCTGCAAGTTCACCAGACAGGTTGCCTTCAAAGACCAGCGAGGAGACATGTGGACATTCTACACATATATCTGAAGCTTCCAGAGACACCTGATAGTGAGGCAACATGGAGCTTCAGTTGTCTTCAGGAGAAACCTGCATCAAAATTAAAAAACAATGTAAAGGCGATACCTTTTTTTAAGGATTGGTTTACGGAGTCACCAACCCTCAAACAATTAGCATCGGAAAAATCTGTCTAAAAGTAATTTTTCTCTTTTTACCAAATGCAAGCTTATGTGGTCATATTGGTCACCTTAAATTAGTTTGCATGAAAGTTGAATTGCATGACAAACAAACTAGGGCCATGATTGCTTTATGCATGTCGTCCCTGGGTACAAGCTAAACAAACCCTGCATGTGTGGCAGTATTCAGAGACTCTCTTGAAGACTCCAGCCACCCCACCAAAAAACCCAACAAAAACCAACAAAGAATAACCTGTCTTTTGTTGATGTTTATGACAAAGATTTCCACGTGAACATCGTAAACCAAGATATGAAAAAAGTCTGGCCTAATAAGTAGTATCTAATATATTCTCTAATGTGACCGTGTGGCATTCACTTTTCTGTATATTAAAGGTAACTATTTATGGAGAGAAATGTTTATTAAATGAGATGTGTGTAATACATAATGAATACAGTTATTGAATAAGTATATTTGGAATTTATGGTATTTTATAAAGAATAAAATAGCATTCTGGTTGGTCTCATGGTCATATAAGTAAAATGATCTTGTCATGGTTATGGAGATAGATGTGATACTGGGAGATGTTTTGCATGCAGATTTTATTTAAAAGAGTTTGAGCAAATGTTTCATAGAAATGCTATTTATGTATGTATCATTATTAATCCAAGTCTGTTCATAAATCATTTCCATAAGCTTGTGATGTCTAAATGTAGCAGTTATTCTTAGAAAGACACTTTGAGTTGAGTAAGACATAAGATGGACTTTAACTACTGAGATGAGTATGGGTTTCATGGCTGAAGCAGAGGAACAAGCTAGGGCAAGGGCAAGGGCAAGGGCAAGGCCAAGGCCAAGGCCAAGGCCAAGGCCAAGGCCAAGGGCATGACACCAAAGAATCATCATTTCTAGACATTTATGGTAATTAGAAGAAACAATTTCCTTGATGTGTCCAGAAATATATTGATATGTGGGAAGAACTAAGGACACTGCAGAAGTCGCGGCAGGTGAACTTTCCAATCATCCAGTAGGCATTGAGGCTTCCAGATTCTCAGTACTGAGTGAGCAAAGCATTCATACAGGAATATCTGATTAATTTATCTCGAATACAAATATGATCAGGGAGTGCTGAATGCAAAAAAATCAATCAGCGATATTATTTTGTGGATATTTTATATGTCCTGTTTCTGAGCGCCATGTTCTACATCCGAACAGGTGTATTATCAAGGGTATATTTGTGTTCAGGGGCAAGTTTCCTTTGCTGAGATCACAATTTCCTTATTGCGGTGACATGTCATTTATTTATATACATGTCACATTTTATTAGCTCAAGAACCCATGCATTGATCATTAGGATTGGGAGGTGAAAGTTTGATTTCACCTGACATTGGAGTAAATGATCTGATATTAATGAGATTTTTTTTTTAGTAATATTTGTAGTAAAAACATATTTTGGGACACAGGTGGTGGCCGAGCTGTCTGAAATCAACCTCATAGAGCCACATGTTGCTGTACGGGTCAGTATCTCAGTGACCAGGTTCCATATCGTGCTTGAGTAAAACTTGCAAAGACTTACAACTTGCCCCAGTCTGGTTCCTGTTTAATTGTTCTGTGAAACAGCCCAATGTGAAGCAGTCTTTACGTCACTCTTCATACAGGAGTGGTGGCAGTTGTAGCGTGAAATAACTCTGGAGCATAGGTTATACTAGGGCCACACTTTATCATTTTATCTTTCACAGACACAAGGTCGGTTGAAATAAAAATAAATATAAATGTCAATCATTTTTTTATTTTTTTTAAAGTCATTCTGCTGTGGAGTTCAAACTGCAGCTGGATTCTTGAATCACTGATAGTGATGTAGACATGGAGGTCATAAATAACATTTTGTATTGTATAAGATGGTCTATATTACTAACAAGGGACATAATAAAAATAAATATTTTTATGTTTCAGAAATAAATTAGACTGGCTGCTTTTCAGTTGTGGCAGGCCCGGGAAACGAAAAATATAAAATGTATAGCCTAAGAGTATTGTAGAACTTTGTGAAACATTACATTAGCTCTGGTAATCTGAGGACAGAATTATTTATTTCATAAAATTTCACAGGGAACTGTTTGGACAATCATTAATGTCATCCATTATCTTAATTATTGAATTGAATTATTTGACATGTGAACTATGATAATAATATTTTGTAAACAGCTGAAGAAATGTCTAACACTTGACTTGCTCAATTCAATTCCTGTATGTGTTGCAATTACTGAATCAAATACTTCACCCATTAACCTTGGAATGCTTGGCCCACTGTGTTTCATTGTAAATACCTCATAGGAAGCACCTGCTTTTCTGTTTAGAAATGTATGCATATTAGACTTTATATATTCATTTGGGAATATTGCCACAGCATGCAGCTTTCATGAATTATGAAAAGGTTAAATGATAAATGTCTTGAGTTTCTGGCTATATCAGTAATTAATATTGGAAGTATTCCGTTTGGTTATGTAGAGTAGCTTCATGATTGATATTTGTAATTCCAAATTTATTTGAATGAACTTCAGCTTGTTAATAACCTGCTTGCATAAAGAGTTGTTATTGCCAAAGTGTCTTTCATTGTATTGCCATCAGTTCCACCATTTGTTTCATGTGTAGCGATTGTTTCATATACTGCAACATGTATCTGGATGTAAATTTCATTGATCAGGTTTGATTGACATATTGACAGAAACAGGATTTGTACCACTTTGTGAATGTTGATCATCTGTGATTTGTGTGTGTATTATCTTTTGAATCATAATGTTCCATGATGGCGTGCAGCCTTGTGTCTTCTGTATATACTGATTGCTAGCTGCCAGTCCACAGTGGAATATAGTTGTGTTGAATTCAGTGCTCTGTAGTCATGTCTAGTCAAAGAGTCCATTCCAGCCCAGGAATGTCCTGATGGTCAAGGTAGTCCCCACTGGTCAAGGTAGTCCCTACTGGTCAGGGAAGTCCCTACTGGCCAGGGTCGTCTCTACTGGTCAAGGTAGTCCCCACTGGTCAAGGTAGTCCCTACTGGTCAGGGTAGTCCCCACTGGTCAGGGTAGTCCCTACTGGTCAGGGAAGTCCCTACTGGCCAGGGTCGTCTCTACTGGTCAAGGTAGTCCCCACTGGTCAGGGTAGTCCCCACTGGTCAGGGAAGTCCCTACTGGCCAGGGTCGTCTCTACTGGTCAAGGTAGTCCCCACTGGTCAGGGTAGTCCCCACTGGTCAGGGTAGTCCCCACTGGTCAAGGTAGTCCCCACTGGTCAGGGTAGTCCCCACTGGTCAGGGTAGTCCCCACTGGTCAGGGTAGTCCCTACTGGTCAGGGAAGTCCCTACTGGCCAGGGTCGTCTCTACTGGTCAAGGAAGTCCCTACTGGCCAGGGTCGTCTCTACTGGTCAAGGATGTCCCCACTGGTCAAGGAAGTCCCTACTGGCCAGGGTAGTCCCCACTGGTCAAGGCAGACCTTACTGGTCAAGGAATTCCGTCCTACCTGTAATGAAATGTAATACCAGTGAAGAAATTCCATATTTCGTTACTGGTCAAGGAGGTGTTTCCAAATCTCTCCCTCCTCACCTCAACATCATATTTAACTGAAAACTGTTTATTCACTTTCTAGACTTTCAGGTGCCTGGCTTAGCATGGTATGGGTATCTGGTAGCTTTATTGACCTTTCCAATAATTTCTGCAAACCAAGTTGTCTGGAACATATGACATTCTGAACCAGGCAGGCCATACTGAACAGCCATTTAATCCCAACAATGATGAGCATCGGGTATTGTTAACCTCCTCTGCCCTGATTCTGGTAACTGACAGTATTATTGATACACTCTGATCTCATGACATTCAACATTACAATATGTGTCTCATGATGCCAGTCTGATGTACACATAGCCTGTACTGTTTCCACTGTGGACTGGCCGAGTCTTGAGTGCAAGGTCAGGTTGAGGTGTACAAGGTCAGTGATTGTGTCATGCATGTTTAGTTTGTGTTGATGGGTGCTTGCCGAGTTGTTCATTACGATGTACATATGTCATTTCATTGCTACTGATACTAAGCATATGTGTCAAGGAGTTTTCTTATTTGTATTCACTGATCATTAACCAATGTTAATCTTTAATTACTATCAAAAAATCTTTTTCTCTTGATTTTAGGTCAGGAAAACTTTTTGTATCTACACAAGGCATAATTATTATTTCAAAGAGATATAAGTTACTTGGCAACAGGCTACCAAAGAATGTGATCGGTGTCTTTTGATGTGAACAGTCATGTTCAATTGAAATACATTATACTGATGAACGAAATTAACAGAGCAGCTCTCGTGTGATTGTGAAATTGACAAGTCATCCCCTCCGTGCACATGTTGGGTTGCTCTGTGTGCTTGTTGTGTTTAGTTTAACAGGTCATGACAAGCATGGGAATCTTTGCTGGGCTATGCTATACATGTAAATAACTGTCAGGGTGATTTAATGAAATAAACAGTGTATATGAGACAGTCATGTTAGTTCTTGTTGCTTTTGTTCATGACGTACCAGAGAACATTGACTGGGTGTTCAATGAGGAGGACTACATTAGCCTGAAGCTGATCACTGACACAAGCATTGCCTTAAAGAAAACAAAGATACAGGCTAGCACTGAATTGAAGTGGAAGCTGTAGACTAACATTGCCTTAAAAAAAAGGAAGCTGTAGGCAAGCATTGCTTTGAAAAAAGAGCTGTAGGCTAGCTCTGAATTGAAGAAAAGGAAGCTGTAGGCTAGCCCTGAATTGAAGAAGATGATACAGACTAGCATTGCCTTGAAGAAAAGGAAGCTGTAGGCTAGCATTGCCTTTAACATAAGCTGTAGGCTAGCCCTGAATTGAAGAAGCGGACGATACACGCTAGCATTGCGTTGAAGAAAAGGAAGCTGTAGGCTAGCATTGCGTTGAAGAAAAGGAAGCTGTAGGCTAGCATTGCCTTGAAGAAAAGGAAGCTGTAGGCTAGCATTGCCTTGAAGAAAAGGAAGCTGTAGGCTAGCATTGCCTTGAAGAAAAGGAAGCTGACACCATTTCATGAGAAAGCTTATGTGTAAATTGTTTATATATATATATGTTTGTGTTAATTGCTTAATTATCCTAAAGTGTAGATATTTATCCATTGCCTATTTGCTTGGTACAACGCGCAGAGAGTGCATATATTAGCATATAAAACAATTATATATTTCAACTGATATACAGATTATTTTCACAAGTTTGGCCAATAACAACGAACATACGGCTAGCATTGCCTGTAGGAAGAAAGGGGTGGCATTTCTTGACTTGGAGTTATGGCCAAGTCTATACTACAACTCTGCAGCGGTCTCACTACCTCATGCATGTAAGAGTTGATTACTCTGAGCGATTGAGTGGTCAGGCTGTGACATGGCTTGCCATAATCAGCTGGATCATTAATGTTGTTTGATTGTTCACAAGCTGCCATGATATAGGGGATATGTTACTGACACTCAATTTCATGCAGTGGAGTGCACCTGAAGTATTAACAACAAACATGGTTTCATTTCATACATTTTATTTTGCAATGTTTTGTTTGCTGAACAATATTTGAAACTGTATAAATAGATAACATATTGTAACAAAATAATATTTTAGTACCAATATATAGCTTAATTTGTGACAGAAAGTTGCTGATTAGGTGATACGCAATACACCATGATACACCCTTTGAACAGAAATAAGAACATTGTACAAAACTGCAGTAGATTCTTGCTTTTAAAGACTTTTCTCAATATTTCATTCACCTGACACCATTTCATGAGAAAGCTTATGTGTAAATTGTTATATATATATATATGTTTGTGTTAATTGCTTAATTATCCTAAAGTGTAGATATTTATCCATTGCCTATTTGCTTGGTACAACGCGCAGAGAGTGCATATATTAGCATATAAAACAATTATATATTTCAACTGATATACAGATTATTTTCACAAGTTTGGCCAATAACAACGAACATACATGTCAAAATCAAAGCATGTTTGCACGAGATGAATGAAATGTATTCTGCAGAAACTTTAAATTGTATCAGAGACTATCCTCTTGATCTGTCGACAGCATCCAGCATGTTTGTATCCATGTATTTCTTATCATTATGCTGAATGTCACTAATTTATCTGGATCTAATTTAGTTCCAAAGATTTTAAATGCCTAGATGACATCAGATCTATTATATGGTCTCTGATGACATAACTGTTCAATTCATATATTAAAAAATGATCAAATATAGTAACAGAATATTAGCAAAACAGACATATTCCAAGCAAACCTTAATAGTCCATTATTAAAATTTTAAACATGCATGAATACTTTAAGGAATCAATAAAGGCAGATCTTGAAAGGAATTGACTTCCCATAACCCTGCTTGACTATTGTGTCAACTTATGACTGTATATATTAGGTGACTATACACATCATGCAGTACACACATCCGACTCTACGAGCACCCGGTCCTGCATGCTGATGATCATGGGTAGGCTGTACATGCACACACCATTGCAACATTCCATGACTAGGAATACCAGTAGTATGAATAACGGATCAGTTTGTAGTTAATTAATGAACAGACTGGCGCGTCACTTCTCCAGTCCACTGACCTGTCTGGTCAACTCCAAGAGCCGACAACACGTCAGCCTTCAGTTGTTCCTTAAAACATGAAGGAAGGGAAGTATCTGTTAAATACTTAACCCCTTCAAATTATTCCCAGTAAGGGTTTGTGACTGCTGTCCGCAGTGAAACTAACAGGGTAACATACCACTCAATCAACATCAACTTGAAAAGTACACTTTCATTTTTCTGCATAATTTGAAGCCATTTTATTTGTCTCATTGTCCGACAGAGCTGGTTGCCCTAGGTTGCCCTATGCTTGCATCATGCACACCGCCCCAGGTTGAGGATGGGTAGAGAGGATGCTTGCCCCACTTTAGTATAACCCAAGACTGGCCCTATATGACCAAGTTGTGGAAACAGTAGTAAGGTCATGTTCTAAATGTCAATGTACTTAGACCAACACAGTTTTCTTGCTTGAATTATAGATTTTGAAGTTCAGTGAAGTAGGGGATAAACAAAATGTATAGAAAAGTTATATTTAGCTTTTTTAACAAAATACATTTTTATGAAATAGCATTTTAAAATTTTAGCTTTTAACTGTTCCAAACATTGACATATTTATCTTTAAAACAAGAAATATTATTGGTTTGGCAGAATTGAAAACAAATAGAATTACATGACTGTTGTAATAATTGTTTTATGTGTATTAAGTTCAATTCAGGCTGCAGGGTTTGAGGTACATGACTCCTACAGTAATGCTGTCACTCACTCATGCTATCTACGCACGTCACTATCAGATGAAATGTACATGTATACCTCCCTAGCTATGTCACTCACTCTGCATCTGGCCTGACTACTGGGAATACATATTGCTTTGTACACCAAACTAATGATTAGATACATTCCACACAAAGTGCATGCACTCTAAGACAGAACCATATCTCAACAGCATGTATTATTGAAAATCATGATTCAATGGTTGAGAAAAATTAACCAACTTTGACAAAATGTTTGATAATACATCACAGACCTCTGCTACAAATTCTAAGTGATTAAAAGAATACAATTTAAGCACAAGCTTAATAAACATCACATATATGCATTACACAGACTGAATGTTGGATCAGTAATGTTATCAAATCAACTTGCAGCTCATGTGTTGTTGATTGGACCAAACTGGTAGATTTCAGACCAGCTGGATGATACTGTCCCTGACCAATCAGCATTCAGAACATACACGGCTTACCTCATGGGTCACTGCTAGATAATGCATTATGATGCATGTCTTAAGCTTACAACAGGTCTAGGCACAAGTGATGACTTCATTCCCCAGGCTCAGATTGGCCTCATATGTAGACCCACATCCATGTAGAATCACAAACTATGCTATATAACATCCTGGCTCTTAAATACTTCGTCTACATTACCAGAACATGTTCCTTTGGCATGGCTTTAGGGGAAGAAATGAACTTTTCAAGGCAAATGACAGTTTGTAGTTTGACGTTGGTCATTATCCGGTCATTATGATATGGAATGTATTGACACCAACTCACAGACGTCCATTACCGGCTGTCAGTAGACTTATCAGATGACTTGTCTGAGAATCGATCAGAATTTTTATCGGAATGTTTTTCCTTTTTAGAGAAGAGTCCCTTCTTGAATATCGAGGAGGACTTCTCCCGGCTTACTTGAATTCCACCATTTGATTCCATCGGGCTCCTAGAGTACTGAATTAGATAGTTGTAAACATTTGGGAGTGAGCGATCATCGCTTTTATCTCGCCGAGCATACAATGACAGCATGTAGTTCCCGCTGCGAGTCAGAGTGATGTTGAAGCGCATGATGGTCGGACGGTCGTCAAGCCGGGCCATCTGGACGTAATCTCGGTTATCCTCGTCAGGTTCCCGAAGGAACTGAAAGGAAAGGTTGATACTTTGTGGAACCTCCAGCTCAATATGACACAGATTGGAATCAGAGATACGGATCTTAGGGTCCTTGTGTGATACCAGTTTCAGCCCAAACTCCTCAAAGGAACTTGTAGGTCCCCATTTATTCTTAGACGAAGAAGTTTTGGGAATTTCCAGTGGGGTGTCGACCTTGGTGCAATTAATGAGATACTTGCAAGCATGGGATAAGGTGTTGGAATCAGACACCCCTTTCGGACGAGCATAAAGATCAATGCCATACTGTCCTGTCTGTGGAAGGGTGATGGTTATTGTCAAGATTTTGGCATCGGCAGAAAGATGCACAAAGGGATCGAGAATTTGATCTTCGACTTGATTCATTCGCAATTTGGCCACAAACTGTAGGGGTCTGGGAATATTGAACTTCACACTGAATTTTTCTTCAACCGTGAGTATTCCTGCTTTGGAAGTTTCCAAATTGTCACTAGACTCACCACCTTCGAAAGGCACAGCTGTAAGTCCAAAGTGTCGGAGGGCCTTCTTGGGCCCCCATTCCCCAGCGGCACAGTTGGGAAGGGGATGCATCTTCCCAGACATCGTTGTGCACAGGATCTTAAACTTACACGCACACTTCAGTCGGAATGGAGCAAAATTTGCATTGTTTTCCTCAACACACCGATTGGTCTCATCGATCTTGTTCGCAAAAATCTCAAAGAAATATTCAGCAGTCGTAGGCACATGGACACTGAAGGTGACAGTGTTGTCCACCATGGTCTGGAAGACAAACCTCTCCAGGCTAGCTCCGCGGTAAGACAGCTCATGTTTGCGCTCCTTATCAGCGAATCGGAGCTGATAGAAAAACACAAGATCATTTTCCAGCTCCTCAGGGATCTTGATGCTGATCTTCACACCACCTTTGTCGTCTGTCTCTAACACTGCCACCCTGCTTTGATCAAACCTCATCCCGTAGTGGAAGAAAACGGATCGGACGAATGGCAAGGCTTCGAACTCCGGGAGAGTGATAGGGATCACAAGGAGCTGCCATTTCTGCTCATACGGCCAGAACTCTTGGATAAACTCATCGGGGTCGGTGAGGAAGTAGTGCTCGTCGTACTGGTAGCGGATCTGATCTCGCTTCTTGGGCTTCTCCTTGTCCTTGTCCTTGTTCAACACCAGGTGTCTGAAGGGAGGAGAAGAGCAGTAAGAAACAGGGACAAATATTTCAACATCAAATAGAAACAGGCCTTATGTCCATCTTTTGTCAACTATAAATACAGCAAACTATGTTGATAACGGACACGCTTTTATATAACAAACACGCTTTGATATAACGAACATACGCATGTTACTGCTTTTGGTCCTGTTCATTTGCTGTATATATGCATATAACAAACTACGGTTATAACGAACTAAAATTAGTGGTCCCTTTGAGTTCATTATGATTATAGATTACTGTATCATCAAATAAAATATGAGACGGAAAATCATTTGTAGGGACAATTTAGTAATCTTGTAATCATTTGTCATTTACCAAATTTGGTCATTTGTTCAAATTATTTTGACATTTTAAGAAAGAGAACATGCTTCAGAAATAGCTGAATAGAGTGTAACCTTGTTGCTTCAGAAATTACTGTTCCCAGGGAAATACATCTGATTGTCAGCTTATTTATCAGGCCTTGATGATGATGTCTCTTCCACTCATACATGAACCTAATCCAAAAGTGATTTTCTATAAGGATCTTTGGACTAAGGTGACTGTTATTGTTTAATGTTACCTTTGCAAAATACCAGTGTACTTTGTGACCCTTGATTGTTGTTGAACGTATGACCTAGGTAATGACTGAAGTAGTTTCAGTGTGAAGACAGGATTGACAGGCATTTCAACTTCTACTTTTTTTCAATATGATGCTTCGGTACCGATATAAGTACCTTGATAAAGAATTAGTATCTGTACTGAATAGTGGCATTTTTAGAAGAACAAAGAAGTTAAAATCCATGTCTTCATTGATACTGCGGTATAATGCCACATAAAGATATCTGGTGTTCCTCTACCTGGCCCCCCAGTTGCACTGGATCAGCCTCCAGTCCCCGTCAATCAGCACGGCATTCCAGGTGTTCTGGAAGGTGTCGGGAGTGATCTGCATGCCTGGCTCGTACCCCACACTCTTGGAGTGGCCCTTGATCTCCACACAGTGCAGGCCGCAGTAGCTGCAACACATCACAACACAGACCGCGTCACAGCAATGTAGCTCGTTATCATCGTATATAATTATGTGAGGCAAGTACATATCAAAGAGAAATAGAAATTTCCATATATTTTCTCCTCATCCTACCGACCCTACATCCTTTGAATTTGTAATTTAATTTAAAAAACATGTAGTTTTATTTTTATTTTGACCACTTGACAAAGGTGTTGAGAAAAAACCATGTAACCCAATGAATAAAAAAGAAAGGCCCCATGTGCCAAACCACTGTCGCAAGGCAGGCAGTGGTTATAACATGTCCTACCTGCACAGTCTCATGAACAGCACGTGGTAGGTTTCTGTGCCGAACTTAATGCCCCTCAGTAGTCCCATAGGCGTGTCCTCCTCGATCGTCTCGTCAAACTCCATCACATTGAGGTCCTTCACTGTGATCCAGCGGTAGATGGCTCTGACAGACAACAAGCACATGTCTCAACCACATGCATGTGGTGAACCACAGAGATACACCATGCAACATGTATAGAGTGGGTCAGTTATTAGCACTGAACCAGGAATATCTTAGCTGGGACAAGAAGAATGGGTTTCAGTCAGTGTAACCTTATGGGGATTTGAGCCTGGGCCTCCGTCTTGATGTTTGTTTGTTTGTTTGTTGTTTAACACTGCACTTAGCAATATTCCAGCTTGATGACAGTGGTCTGTAAATAATGTTGTCTGGACCAGACAATCCAGTGATTGACATCATGAGCATCGATCCATGCAACTGGGATACGATGACATACATCAACCAGGTCAGCAAGCCTGACCACCCGATCCCATTAGTTGCCTCTTACAACAAGCATAGTCGCCTTTTACTGCAAGATGCCTTTCTTCTTTAACCTTCCTAAATGTCCTTTATTTCTACAGCAACCTTCCAAGTAAGTGAAATTGCCCAAGTAGCATGTAATCACTTATATCATACAAATTTATTATTCAGTTTTGAAATAATTGCCAATGTTCATCAGACTCCCCCAAATTGTGTTTCCTTGTTCAAGACTTTCCCCTGAACCTGCCATGAACTTTGTGATCCCCTCCCTGTTATTTTCGACAACTACTGACCACACAACATCAAACTACAAATAGCCGTGTGTCTTGTAGCTGTAGCTCACCTGGCTTTCTCCAGGTCCGACATCAGGTTTTCTGTCAGCTCCTTGACCAGGTCAGTGTAGGTCAGCTGCTCACCTTCGGCCACCTGCAGGGAGGAAGTGGTACATGGTAGATGTATCGTGGTACATGATTCAGGAGCTGCAAGATAGTATTCCCTGTGTGTGGCTGCGTGTACTAGTCCAGACTAATTCCAATTTTATAGTGCTAGCCTGAGATGCCATGCTGCAGTTTAACATGAATACCCCACTCAGACACAGTATACTGACACTGAGCTGACCAGTCCTTGTTTTAGCCCCTTAATGCCGCACGCTAGGCAGGGTAACAACAAGTATGATCTGTAAATGTTTTTTTGTATGACACGACCGGGGATCAACAGTGTTCCCGCTGGCTTTTGAAACTGCCAGTCTTTGTGGACTGGCAACTCTAAAAATTACCAGTCCCCCAAAATTTTGGCCAGTACCAACTTTCAACAAATAAAAGTATGCATGAAAATTATTAGGTTTTATTTCCTTCAACATCATGTTCATTGCAAAGTAGGAAGTAACTTAGTTAGATCTATACATCATTCACACAAACTTCAGTCACAATTGAAGCATTCCAGCATTCATTGAAACAGCCATCTGCATAATGCTACCCCTGCGTCACAGGGCCATATGACACAGTTGAACCAATCAACTCAACTCGAAAGGGTGCACGGGAATCACGCACGTTGAGACGCCCAACACTAACACTGTATTCGTGTGTGCGTGATTCCCGTGTTTCAATGAATGCTCGTTCCACCCGTGACGAACAGGTCTGGTTGTTGATGAAATATAGTGATCGCTAAATAGACAGATTTTTTATTCATGCACCGATTGTCTTTAAATGTAATATCCAGTTATGTATGACTGTTTAATAACCTCATACTAACTTTGACTGGAGTAGGTCCGATAGTTTTTCAGATATTGTAGTAAACGTCGGTACCTTAAATTACCTTCCAGACTATACCTAGAGACAACAAATCACTGTGTTCCCTGCTTCTTGATGAAGTACACCACATACCTAGTCCTACGAGACATGCATGCTTCATGGGAGTCCGATCCATTGACAGTTAATGGACAGAGATGCCTTCAATAGTTTGTTTTTAAAAATAAAATACACTGCCTAATATGTTTTAAACATTTGAATGAAATTCTAATAATTTATTCATTATAGCACTTATATAGATCTATATATATCAGAAACCACAAATCACAACATTAAAACTGATATGCTGCAGATCTTATCAATCTCCATATTAGAAAAATGCACCACACAACAGTCAAGATAAGCATAATTACACCTAGTAATTAGAAATTTCACATATGAAATTTTCTCAATTGTTCTGTTTCCTTAGTGATCATCATTTGTATCAACAAGAAAATCAACAAAGTCAACTACATCTCAAGCATGGAAACTCATTGTGTTACCCCATCCGCCCTTGTCATCTAACCAAGAACAATCATTAATTATCTCCACAGAAAGCCAAGTTTGTTGAGGTGTGACAGAATGTGCTGATTTAGCATTATTTAAGTCGCCCATGGCAAATCAGTGGTTTAATTCCCCAGACAGTCTGTGATGAAAGACTACAAGATGTGCAGTGGTGTTTAACCAAACTAACCCAGCCGTACAGAGACCTGCTGAGATTGGGGAGTGTGCAGGCTATGTTTAGAACTCCTCTAGAATGGTGCTGTTGTGACATGGTTCTGCTCTGGTTAATTCTATTCCTGGCGACAGGCGTTATCAACACTGATTGTGTATGTGATGCTAGTCTGTGGTGTACACTATTCATAAGCTAATGCTTTTTTAACAGTTGAATTATTTGTTAAGGGGAAAAGCATATTACTTTTGATGCTACAGTGAAGACTCCCAACTAATGACTCACTATACACTTACTAGAGCTATATGATGATGATGATGATGATGATGATAAAGTGTAGCCTTTGTTTATCACATAGTAAAACAGGGCAACAGTAATGAGTGACAGGGTGTTTGTATGTGAATGAAATCCCCATCTTCAACAAAAACATAATTCAAATTACCTACAAATATTGTGTCTCTCCTTAATACTCAGTGTAATCGTGCAATCACCTTTACAGGGATCATGTCAATAACTCGAGAGTGACAACAGGGTTTCACCATAAATGTCATTGTATAATCAATATTACAAACAGCTAAATGGTCGTCAGTGTTAATTACACTGTCAGACAATCAATGATTTATTGGCAAAGATCATTATCGAGTTATTGATCGGATGCCGACTGATCAGTTGTCTTGACAGGTGTGTTCCTGACCACTGCAGGCAATAGACACTGGTGGCCAAGTACAACCGTGTGACCAGTATGTGACAATAGGGTTGATGGATGTGTCACTCTGGTCCTAACCCCTGCCCTGTCGGGGGTGCCCAGATACTGGGCAGTACACTGAACCTACTGCTTCAGTGTTTTTTAGTTCTGCTTTATTCTATTTTAGAATCATGGATTTACTCTGTTAAATGTTTCAACTATATCCATGCAGTTGCATTTTGTTTCAGCTCATTACACCAAGGAAAGTCTTAGTCAGAACCCTGAGGTTTCCACGTGTCATTGCCTCCCACATGTTATCACAATCACCCCCATGTTCTCGAGGTCGCCCCCATGTTGTCATGATCACCAACATGTTGTCATGATCACCCGATGTTGTCATGATCACCCCCATGTTGTCATGATCACCCCCATGTTGTCATGATCACCCCCATGTTGTCATGATCACCCACATTATGATCACCCCCATGTTGTCATGATCACCCACATTATGATCACCCCCACGTTGTCATGATCACCCGCATTATGATCACCCCCATGTTGTCATGATCACCCATATGTTGTCATGATCACCCCCATGTTGTCATGATCACAACATTATGATCACCCCCATGTTGTCATGATCACCCCCATGTTGTCATGATCACCCCATGTTGTCATGATCACCCCATGTCATGATCACCAACATTATGATCACCTCCATGTTGTCATGATCAACCCCATGTTGTCATGATTACCCACATTATGATCATCCTCATGTTGTCATGATCACCCACATTATGATCACCCCATGTTGTCATGATCACCCCATGTTGTCATGCTCACCCCTGTGTTGTCATGATCACCCCCATGTTGTCATGATCACCCCCATGTTGTCATGATCACCCCCATGTTGTCATGATCACCCCCATGTTGTCATGATCACCCCCATGTTGTCATGATCACCCCCATGTCATGATCATCCCCATGTTGTCATGATCACCCCCATGTTGTCATGGTCATCCCCATGTTGTCATGATCACCCATATGTTGTCATGATCACCCCCATGTTGTCATGATCACAACATTATGATCACCCCCATGTTGTCATGATCACCCCCATGTTGTCATGATCACCCCATGTTGTCATGATCACCCCATGTCATGATCACCAACATTATGATCACCTCCACGTTGTCATGATCAACCCCATGTTGTCATGATCACCCACATTATGATCACCCACATGTTGTCATGATCACCCACATTATGATCACCCCATGTTGTCATGATCACCCCAAATTGTCATGATCACCCCTGTGTTGTCATGATCACCAACATGTTGTCATGATCACCCCCATGTTGTCATGATCACCCCCATGTTGTCATGATCACCCCCATGTCATGATCATCCCCATGTTGTCATGATCACCCCCATGTTGTCATGATCATCCCCATGTTGTCATGATCACCCCCATGTTGTCATGATCACCCACATGTTGTCATGATCACCCCTGTGTTGTCATGATCACCCCCGTGTTGTCATGATCACCCCATGTTGTCATGATCACCCCCATGTTGTCATGATCACCCACATGTTGTAATGATCACCCCCTGTTGTCATGATCACCCACATTATGATCACCCCCATGTTGTCATGATCACATTATGATCACCCTAATGTTGTCATGATCACCCCATGTTGTCATGATCATCAACCATGTTGTCATGATCACCCCATGTTGTCATGATCACCCACATGTTGTCATGATCACCCACATGTCATGATCACAAACATTATGATCACCCCCATGTTGTCATGATCACCCACATTATGATCACCCCATGTTGTCATGATCACCCCATGTTGTCATGATCACCCCTGTGTTGTCATGATCACCAACATGTTGTCATGATCACCCACATGATGTCATGATCACCCCCAGGTTGTCATGATCACCCACATTATGATCACCCCCATGTTGTCATGATCACCCCCATGTTGTCATGATCATCCCCATGTTGTCATGATCACCCACATGTTGTCATGATCATCTGTGTTGTCATGATCACCCCTGTGTTGTCATGATCACCCCCATGTTGTCATGATCACTCCCATGTTCTCATGTTCACCCCCATGTTCTCATGATCACCCCTGTGTTGTCATGATCACCAACATGTTGTCATGATCACCCCCATGTTGTCATGATTACCCCCATGTTGTCATGATCACCCCATGTTGTCATGATCACCCCATGTTGTCATGATCACCCCTGTGTTGTCATGATCACCAACATGTTGTCATGATCACCAACATGTTGTCATGATCACCCCCATGTTGTCATGATCACCAACATGTTGTCATGATCACCCCCATGTTGTCATGATCACCCCCATCTTGTCATGATCACCCACATTAGGATCATCCTCATGTTATCTTGATCACGCATATGTTGTCATGATCACCCCCATGTTGTCATGATCACCAACATTATGATCATCCCCATGTTGTCGCGATCACCCCCATGTTGTCATGATCACCCCCATGTTGTCATGATCACCCCCATGTTGTCATTATCACCCCCATGTTTTCATGATCACCCACATGTTGTCATGATCACCCACATGTCATGATCACCAACATTATGATCACCCACATGTTGTCATGATCAACCCAATGTTGTCATGATCACCCCCATACTGTCATGATCACCCCCATGTTGTCATGATCACCCCCATGTTGTCATGATCACCCCCATGTTGTCATGATCACTCCATGTTGTCATGATCACCCACATGTTGTCATGATCACCCACATGTTGTCATGATCACCCCCATGTTTTCATGATCACCCCCATGTTGTCATGATCACTCCATGTTGTCATGATCACCCACATGTTGTCATGATCACCCACATGTTGTCATGATCACCAGACCATACTCAGCTAAATGTTGTCAAGGCCAACCCCATGTTGTCACCTGCATGTAGTAATGGTAACCTACAACACTTGATGGTCAATTTGACACCTGCTGTACATCGTAACCTAATTATTTAACCTAATTATATTTGTGCCATGGGGGTGAGAGGTTCAGCTCACCTCAATCACTTGTTCATCAATGTCGCTGAAGACGCTAACGTCACTGTAGAGGTCCCTCTTCCGACAGCGCGGTGGTTTGGGTGAGGGTGGTTCGAAGACTGTGGGAGTCTGCAGCACCTCCATGATCTCCTCCACTGGGGGCTCGGACACCTGCCCTGCCGACTCTTCAGTCTGTAAACAGCAACATGATCATGAGCTGCACGACTGCTGGACTCCAGACTTTGTACAGGAAGGATGGTAAAACAACCATAGAGGGTATTTAGTGGGTTTTATATGATTGGGGTCCATATGTGTTTTCCAAAAAGCTGGGGTTGCAACTGTCATGGTAATTTTGTTGTTGGCTCCATTCCTCATAGTGTTAATGGAAATGGAGATCAATAGGAGAATGAAAGAAACACTCCGACTTTTCTCAGAACAACTTCACTCATTTCATTCTTTCATATCAACTTACAACATATAATTAAAAAACAAAGTAATAAAAAGGTTGAACTGGAACATAATCCCTGTCATTTCTGCCGCGACTACTAACAGACTCCCATGAAGGTCCCCCTCCCTCACCTGAAGGATCTGCAGGTCATTCTGCCGCGACTACTCACAGACTCCCATGAAGGTCCCCCTCCCTCACCTGAAGGATCTGCAGGTCATTCTGCCGCGACTACTCACAGACTCCCATGAAGGTCCCCCTCCCTCACCTGAAGGATCACCAGGTCATTCTGCCGCGACTACTCACAGACTCCCATGAAGGTCCCCCTCCCTCACCTGAAGGATCTGCAGGTCATTCTGCCGCGACTACTCACAGACTCCCATGAAGGTCCCCCTCCCTCACCTGAAGGATCACCAGGTCATTCTGCCGCGACTACTCACAGACTCCCATGAAGGTCCCCCTCCCTCACCTGAAGGATCACCAGGTCATTCTGCCGCGACTACTCACAGACTCCCATGAAGGACCCCCTCCCTCACCTGAAGGATCACCAGGTCATTCTGCCGCGACTACTCACAGACTCCCATGAAGGTCCCCCTCCCTCACCTGAAGGATCTCCAGGTCATTCTGCCGCGACTACTCACAGACTCCCATGAAGGTCGCCCTCCCTCACCTGAAGGATCACCAGGTCATTCTGCCGCGACTACTCACAGACTCCCATGAAGGACCCCCTCCCTCACCTGAAGGACCTCCAGGTCATTCTGCCGCGACTACTCACAGACTCCCATGAAGGTCCCCCTCCCTCACCTGAAGGATCTCCAGGTCATTCTGCCGCGACTACTCACAGACTCCCATGAAGGTCCCCCTCCCTCACCTGAAGGATCTCCAGGTCATTCTGCCGCGACTACTCACAGACTCCCATGAAGGTCCCCCTCCCTCACCTGAAGGATCTCCAGGTCATTCTGCAGCTCCACCACCAGCTCCTGCTTCATCTCCTCCTGCTTGGCTGCCAGAAGACTCAGCATCTGTACGCTCTGTCGTTTGACCAGGTCAGAGGTCGTACTCTGTTCCTTCTCCCTCAGCCTCAAGGTCATCGTCTTCTTCTTCTTCTCCCTCTTCATTGTCATAGTCTTCTGAAGGACGTTCTTCTCATTCTCGAACTGGACTGTCATTAGCTGTGACAAACAGATTTCATATAGGTTGTGTATATATCTTGAGATCAAAATCTGCATCAGTGAACAGTGGAGACATCAGATATATCATGACAGGTGTAAAAAAATTTAAACAGATTCCTAATTTTAGGGTGATCAAGTTGTGGTTTAACACTGATTTCAGCAGTATTTTAGTTCTATCATCCTGAGAGGCAAGCCTGAAGTGATGCAGGTCTTTGACATTTCCAACTTTGGTGATCACGAGTTTGGCTCTGATCCTGACTAATCAAGGATCATAATCAGGGTGATCCTTGATTCATACCAACAAGCAAAGGATCCTGACATGACTAAGGGACACAACTCTGAATTGCAGCACCCTAGACAACTGGGTCACTGGTACCCACTCACACTGTAGGAGGCATCCCTCTATAGCCAGGTACTGCCAATACCACACTGGCATATTTGGATAATGTCTGGACTTCTTTACATGATAGTAATTACACTACTGTAACAGTGTTTGTTTTATTCACAAGTTCCTTCATATTAATACAGTACACATAAAACATATACCACATGCTTTCATCTTGCTAAGGATTGCTATGAGGTATAAATTATTTAAACACATTATCCTGAAAAACCAAATAACCCTCCAGAACTATTAGCCATACGCAAGCACATTAAATGAAGTCATCCTTGACTGGAAGAGCTGGACAAGCAGCCCATGAGTCATGTGAGCAGGGCTCAAACTCCAACAAATAAATAATAGCCAGACACTGACACCCATGCTCAATGTGCTTCTACATCTAAATCCCTGTTTACACCAAGCTGGGATGACTCATTACCCTAACTGTCTGAAGGGAGTGATTACCTTAAGAATTACTCAATCCTTTTCAAAGTAAAAAGGTAAGAAAAATATTTTGCTATATTTATGGACCATAGAAATATATTACCAGATGAAAATATAATTTCCCTCTGACAAGCAGAGCTTGAAGTCCATAATGTCATTACCATACACATCAAAGGTCTGATCAAAATGATCTTTTGAATTTGCAAAAGGGAGATCACTCTGAAATAATTCTTCCAAAGTTGTCTCCCTTTGGCAAGCTGAGTGACAAAACTCTAAAGATCTGAATTTTCAAGCTTAAGAAACTATGTGAGACCCTTGCATAATAATCTTCATAATCCCAGCAAACCAAACATTAGTCTTGTTAACGCAAACATGTTGGTGAGGACCTGTCTGCACAAGTTTATCGTCTGTTCAAGACACATGTGTGCATCTTGAAGATTTGTGATAATCTATTTTAAACTTAAAATACTTGACATGTTTCCATTTCCAGCCAAACTGAGGTCAACATAGTCAGCAAGATGTATGTATAGAGGTACAGATCCCTTCTGTTACAATCATATGCATGCATATATTAAGGATCTGATTACAGAGATGTAACCTAAGAAGCTGATAGGTTGTAGAAATGCTTTAGTGTATAACTACAGAACCAATCATGAATAACAGACACAAAGCTCTCCCATTATCTGGCACTGAGACTTTCAGTTTCAAGTGCATTACATCTAATTACCTTCCCTATTTCCTAGGAGTAGTGTTAGTAATGGAGGGGGGTCTATGGGGTTTGGTGGTACAGTACTCTATTCAAGAGTGTGTGAGTGTGTATGGTTTTACGCCGCATTTAGCAATATCCCAGCAATATCACGGCGGGGGACACCTGAAATGGGCTTCACACATTGTACCCATGTCGGGAATCGAACCCGGGTCTTCGGCGGGACAAGCGAACGCTTTAACCACTAGGCTACCCGACCGCCCCTCTCTATTCAAGAAACACCCAACAACATTTGTCAACATTATGAATAGGACATATTAATCCTTAATTTCAAGCTCTGTTTTTAAACATCAGCATGCAAATCATAGATCTTTATAGACATCCTGTGTGTTGTCATTGTTTGAATAATGAAGGATCAGCAAATTGTTGGAAACTTATATTCACATGATGTGTTTCACATCTAAATGATTTATTGCAGCTAAGGCCTAAGGGTAGACAGTCAACATGATTTACGAATCATATTTCTCCTGCTGCAAACTTGATATTGCCCTTTGATCATTGTAATATGAATTATTGGCTACTGTAGCCCACTCCTGGCATGAGTAGGTGCTGCGCTATTTGAGAGTCAGGTGTTATCAAGAACACACTTAACCTGGTAGCTGGAAGACTCCTCAAATACACCATGCTCTGGACAGATGGGGAGTCACATGCACTTGCACGTGCCCGCAAGGAGTCATTAACATGACATGGTGGATAACTAAATGTTTTCTACACATTTTTTCATGAAGTTTGCAGTCACATTATGACAAGGTTTTCACGTGTAACTATTGAAGGGTAACACAAAGAAGGGCAGACTGGAGAGTTGGAGACTTCGTGCCATCAGCCAGCAGTGAAATACTCCTTCCCCTTTTTCTCACCTTCTTCTCATTATCCTTCATCTTCTTCCTCTTCCCCTCCATCTGCTTGTCAAACTTTTCCGTCAGCTCCTTAAGGCGTACCTCCCATTCCTTGTTTATCTCCTCGGAGATCTTCTCTGATTCCTGTTTCCGCACGGAATGGAAGCTGCGGAACATCTCATCCTCCTCCTTCCGCAGCTTCGCCTCCAGCTCCTTCTGGGCATTGAACACCTGCTCCCGCCGCTTGGCCTGGAACAAGAACAGGAGCATTAGGAACAGAGAACGGAAAAATGAGGACCAGCAACAATAAGAACAGAACAGCTGCTCCTGCCACTTGGCCTGGACCCAGTACAGGAAGTGAAAACGGTTGCTTTAATATTTGGGGTATTGTAAAGTAAAGTCAGTGAGAAGTGTGAAACTCCACATTTATCTATCTAGCCATAGGATAAAAACTCCACATTTATCTATCTAGCCATAGGATAAAAACTCCACATTTATGTATCTAGCCATGGGATAAAACTCCACATTTACCTGGTCAAGGGAACCAAACCCATCAGTTGTCTCTTGACTATGCCTTAAAACATAATATTATGGAGTATTAACCACACAAACAACATTTTCCCATTACCTTTGTCTGATAACAACTTCAATAAATTACTGGTGAGACATGTACTTAGTGTGTTCCTCCCTTGTAATGGGTCAATAAAATCCCAACATAGCCCCAAACACATTATCTTGCAGGTGACTGTCATCATGACGGATAGGGTTTAGTAACATGGCACAAGCATGCTGGGAGGGAATTACCTCATGTACGCTTTCACCATGGAAACTGATCCAACAAGATAGCACTTAACATGACGTTTGTGTCAGCCAGAAAGACAGGCCCATGGGCTTATCGGCAACTACTGACTACTATATTCCCAGCACACTGGCTCAACAACACTATTTATCATAAAGCAGAATAATGTCTTCCTGTGGGAGACAAAGGGGTCGCACCTCTATCAGCTGGTGTTTGTTACATCACACACAGGGCCTGTGTTTGCATGGGGAGCATGATTCAACAGATGTAACAGTCCACATGATGTACAGTCAGCATGGATGCATTGTTCCAGGACATTCATCATGTTGGTTTTAAGTAGAGGACAGGCTACATCATAAACACCACTGGCAGGGACTACTCATGACAGGTTGTTCAGAAAACTTGAGGTCAGACAGAACAGGTCAACTCTTACACCAAACAAAATAATACTGGTCACTTTCAAAAGTATAGTCCACATCATGGGCTACAACCATCACAGGACAATACTGTTTCCTCAGACAAGGGAAAAATACTGTTTCCACAGACAAGACAATAATACTGTTTCCTCAGAGAAGACAATAATACTGTTTCCTCAGACAAGACAATACTGTTTCCTCAGACAAGACAATACTGTTTCCTCAGAGAAGACAATAATACTGTTTCCTCAGACAAGACAATTTTGTTTCCTCAGACAAAATAATACTGTTTCCTCTGACAAGGCAATAATACTGTTTCCTCAGACAAGACCATTATACTGTTTCCTCAGACAAGACAATACTGTTTCCTCAGACAAGACAATAATACTGTTTCCTCAGACAAGACAATACTGTTTCCTCTGACAAGACAATAATACTGTTTCCTCAGACAAGGCAATACTGTTTCCTCTGACAAGGCAAAAATACTGTTTCCTCAGACAAGACCATTATACTGTTTCCTCAGACAAGACAAAAATACTGTTTCCTCAGACAAGACAATACTGTTTCCTCTGACAAGACAATAATACTGTTTCCTCAGACAAGACAATACTGTTTCCTCTGACAAGACCATTATACTGTTTCCTCAGACAAGACAATACTGTTTCCTCTGACAAGGCAATAATACTGTTTCCTCTGACAAGGCAATAATACTGTTTCCTCAGACAAGACCATTATACTGTTTCCTCAGACAAGACAATAATACTGTTTCCTCAGACAAGACAATAATACTGTTTCCTCAGACAAGACAATACTGTTTCCTCAGACAAGACAATACTGTTTCCTCTGACAAGGCAATAATACTGTTTCCTCAGGCAAGACAATACTGTTTCCTCAGACAAGACAATAATACTGTTTCCTCAGACAAGGCAATACTGTTTCCTCTGACAAGGCAAAAATACTGTTTCCCCAGGCGAGACAATACTGTTTCCTCAGACAAGGCAATACTGTTTCCTTAGACAAGACAATAAAACTGTTTCCTCAGACAAGACAATAATACTGTTTTCTCCCAAAAGACAATAATACTGTTTCCTCACAAAAGACAATTCCTTTAGCTTTTTCTACAAGCAGATTATACTTCAAAAACTAAATCGTCCACAAACACGCGAGAATTATTTGTGATTAACCTTTTTGACAAATATTCAGTTAAATCATTGAAAGTGTCTTGAATGTGATGTGTGCAGAAACGTAGATTGCCGCACACCAAAGATCCTGACAGAGCAGGAATGGAATTGGAACCATGATCAGCAGGTTATGGGGTCCTCTCAGTCCACTGGGCACCCCTCCCCCATCTGTAGGAAGATGTCCTATAGGTCAAGGTACCCCTACAATACCCCCACCAATAAGACAGCCCTATGATTGTAAGCCCTGCTCATCAGCAAAAGTTATCATTGCAGATGTGTGCAAAGCAAAGGCATTGAAGCCAAGTTGTTTGATCAAATATGTGTTAAGCTACAAGTGAAAGGCAAACATATATTCAGTGACCCACCAGGTAGTAATATAATCTGGCCAACAGGGAAACCAGTTTGTAGGTAATAAACACTAGATGTTTCCTGGACCGAGGGCAGGGTATCTTTTTTTTAATCAGGGCAGAAATACCCTCAACGCAAATGCATACCTCCTCAAGGATTATGCAAACAATGACAAACAGTTGTTAGGCCATATTTGGTAACCTTTGCACAAGTGATTTGGCGGAAAAATACCACAATGATTGGAAAAAACTTGTCATCCAATAAATATAATTTTTACTACACTAAATATACACAACCAATGAAAAATCCCACACGTTCACGCAAGGTAAAATACTTTTTATCATATTACTCTGAATTGTTTGTACCTTCAATGGTAGGCCCATATTTACACACCCAACAAGGGAATGTTGAACAAAGACCTACACAAAAGAAGCGTCTACTGGAGAATGTACTTCTGAAATCAGATACGGAAGAATGGATATAACATTTTTTGCCACTGAGATCTGCATAAAATTTCCACAGTCACGATTTATCCGAAGATGCTGAGGAGTTGGTAGAGATTGCCAGCGCTTCCTATTGTGGTTGTCACAGTCTAGTAATTGTGGCCGTGTATGTCGCCTGCTCGCCAGGTCGTCACACACTCGACGTATCAAATTTGTATGTATGTATAAGCTAAACCTACATACGCCTAAAATAAAATGTGCAGATATATCGCACTATTTCGCAGGCACTATACATCAGTATTCCAGCTGAATGACGGCGGTCTGTAAATAAGAGAGTCTGGACCAGACCACCCAGTGATAGATATCATGATCATCGATCCACGAAATTGGGATATGATGATATGCATCAACTATGTCAGCGATGCTTAATCACCCGACACCATTAGTTACCTCTTACAACAAGCATAGTTGCCTCACTTGTAAGTAACAGTACACGCTCTGTAATGTTTTAAAAACACTTCAACAAGGTACCTCGCCAAGTGAGCCTTCTACGCGCCAGTTTCATGTTGACAATACACTTTCCGATTTAAATCCTCCAAATAACTATTAGTTCTGAAACCGGAGACTATACAAACAGATCCACTACACACTCAACACTACCAGTATCAAATTCACGGCTCTATAAACATATGAACTAAAGATCTTCGTCTTTCCTGAATAAACCTTGCGAGTAATAGATGACGGAGGTCTATGAGAACCGTTGAAAATATACGTATCGAACACAGAATAACAGAAATGGACGTCTTACACACTTAATAAATATACAAAATTGAATTCTCAAGATATGAGTTCAACAAATTTTGAACAAAGCATGTTGGAAGTTTAGCATATTTAGAAAATACAATTTTGCATGATGAAAAGTCGCTTAGAACCTTACATTTTCAAATTCAACTTCGTATCTCAAACCTTCAATTTTCTAACTTTTATTTTTCAAGATATATACTTCTTTCAAGGTCTGCCTCCCCCAGCAGTCGATGGAGATGTGTTGACTTCCTTGCGTCATCTGTCGTGACCAGCCTCTCAGACGTACACAATACACCTATTATGGTATATCCCATCTTGCCCGCAATCGTTCCACTCAATCAAACACAGGTATCCCATCGTGAAAGCAGTATAATGTATGTTAATACAGCCTCACGCTCTCGTGACTCAGGAGTATGTCGGGACACTGGGCATTACCACAGGGTTTCCTATGATTCAAACATCCCTCGTTACAACATGTGGAAACCGCCTGAGAGTGGCTGTAGTCACGATTCGTGGTTGTGTTTGTGTGCTGGACCGGCCAAACAAACCCCGACATACAGCTAATAGACATAGCAAACTCGCCTCTTGTCAAAATACGTACTGCTCTGATCAACCGGCCGTGACCTTGCCAGCTCCGTTTCAAAGGCAATAATGTCGGCGTGGTAAATCAACTCAAACCAAATCAACCCGCCCCCAAAATGCATGCGTCATATTTTTTTAACGAAGTCCACCGAGATTTGTATGTCGACCACCCTATATAATAGATAAACGTGACACCCCTATTTCATAGAGTAGACTAACCCGTCTAATCGATGTTACCTTCTTGCGCCACGCGAGCCAAACAAAGGTGTTTTAATTGTCCGGAAAACAATCTCACCCGTCTTAAAAGTTATCTAAATTAAAATGACATGTAGTAGTTCTCTATGCCTCAAGGATAAATCAGACATCTCATAGCATGTTTTATAGTATTACCGAAAGTACACCCAGATTGTTTGCACGACTACATAAACACCTTACAACCAGCACGACCTCGGATCCCACCTTGTTGGTGTTATATGTATGAATAGTGATTTGCATACATTGCTTGTTACCTTTGGTCATATCTCAAGTAAAACTGAAATCGGATCTACCCATCCGTCTATGGCTTCCAGAGTGAGTGAGTGAGTGAGTGAGTGAGTTGTGTTTAACGCCGCTTTTAACATTATTCCAGTTATATCACTGCGTGTCAGCTTAATGTGTGAGAAAGCCCGGGGTGATG